GATAAAAGTTATCGAAGTAAAATTCATCTATTGAATATTCATACGTAGTCAAAGAGATTTTTCTACTAAAATTATATTTCAACTACTTTCCTATGCCAATTGTACACAACATTCAATATCTTGGTTTACATGTAAACCTCCGATTTACTCGAGCAACCCATATCCATATCAAACATATTGGTTTAAATAATAATTTGTGTGAACTACGTCATTTTCTTATACATTAACATATCAATCTTAATAATAAATTTTTCCCTATATAAACTCCTTTTACTAATTTGGCTTTATATCATACTGGGATCAATCAAAACTTCTAACACGAATAATATTCAAATATTCTTATCTCAATAATGTATACATCAAATAAAGCCCTGTTCAATGTTTCTAATGACATTCTATAAAAATCTTTAAAATTCTACAAATGTCTAAACTCAAATATACAAAATTATCAAAATTCACTGATCACCAATTTATTCATTTGCACATTGTAATATTCCAGGTGAATTAAAAAAACTCTAAAACAAACATGATTTGGTTATCTCATATCTACCCAATTTTCATTACCTTATGTCAGCGGACAGCAAATGGCGGCCCACAGAAAATTTTATCTAGCCCGCAGACCAGGAATAAAAATAAAAATCGATAGCAAAATACATTGGTTTTTAGTAAAAAACTTTTTATCGATGGAAGCCGGTATTAAACTTGTTCCCCAGTATATCATATCGCTCATATCAGTTTGAATGGGTTAGGTTTTGACCGTATACGGAATGTGTTAATTACTCGTCAACGCCAGTCCGTCAATTACCGTCACCCCCGGTGACTTATTTTCCGTTGTATTACGATATAACTAGCTTCTTTTATTTTTGTGTTTATTTGATTATGGGAAAGAAAAGAAGAAAAGTTGAATTTGAAAACAGATTATTTTTACCTGAGTAAACGGAATTCTTTTGTTTTATTTACCGCTCAAGGAGCCTTGCTAGTTTGTTTGATTTGCCACCATACTTAGCTGTTTTTTAATGTTTTCAAAATTAAACGTTATTATATGACATAAATATATTTAACTTGTTTTATATAAATTTTATAATGTCTTTAAAAAGTATCACTAATGCTTATTTAAAATATATATATAACAATTTTAATTTTGTAACGCTTATAAATCATTTTTGCGATTTTCCAGTAACTTTTTTTTGTTGGCTACAAAGAAAATAATATAAAAGATTTGATATGAATGACTTTTATCTAATTTTCAAGCCTTAACTATAAAAATTTAAAATTTTATGAATGTTTAGCTAAAAAAAAGTAATGGATTTTCGTCAAATCGTTTTGTCAAAATTTAATATTTGACACTCGTATTTTTTTAAAATAAGTTTAAGTTTTTCGTTAATCAGAAATATTTACCTGTTGAAAAGAAGAACTTTGTATACAATTTTCAAGACTTTGTTAAACTGAAATTATTTTATCGATATTTCCGAAATCAAAGAAAACCTGAAAATTCAAATTTTCAATAATTAACTAAAAAAAAACTTTTAAACATTATAACAAGGCTTAAAACCTGTAACCGGTTTGTAACGAAAACCGGTAAAAAACCGTAAATTTGAGAACCAAAAACCGATAACCGCTATTAGTTTTGGAATGTTGGAAGCGGTTATTGGCTATTGGTAATCAAGGTAAATATCTAAATATTAACATCAAAGCGATTACATCGTATTTTCAATCCCGGTTTTATAATCAAAACTTATTCCCGACCAAAATAATTAACGTTTTTTTCGTGGTATTAATACTTGAATTATGTCATGGTTATACTATTATAGTTGAATTTAATTTTCCAGCTATTTTTAAATATTTTTACAATTAATTAGCCCCAAATAGTCCCAATGGCCGTCGAGTATTGCTTATCTGTTGTGAATATCATATTTATAAATAGGTATAACTATACATTATAAATACCGTCATAAACGCCGTCTTCGTGGTGCGCTGATTCTTATTACACACGTTGGTGGAATATAGGCTTAGACCATTTAATATTTATGATATTTTAATACTGTCGTTTTAATATCTGCTCATCCATTTTTTGGTGTACTGTATTATATACAATATAACCAAAAGGTCCCGTGGAAATGTGTCAATCTTAGTATCAGCTTAGAACAAATTATTATTTTTAATTTCGGTTTTTTACCGTTATAAATAAGAAAATTATAAAAATAAAAATTTTTTATGCAATTTAGTTTTTTGATTATCATTATCTTGACCATAATATGTTTTAAACTTTAAAGTAGTTTGAAAAAAATAAATATCGAAATTGAGTGAAATCGACCAAATTAAAGCATATTAAGTTTTTGATTTTGTAATAATAAAAGTTATATTATCAACCCACGAAACGCCTAAATATACGGTTTTAAAAATATGATTTTTTAAAAACCAGTTTGAACCGGCAACCGATTCCCAAAAAACCTTATCATCGTCTTTTAAACAATTAACGGTTATTATAGTTTTTGAAATATCCTTATAGAAACGGTTACCGGTTACCATATTATCAAAATTAAACGATAACCGGTTACCCGTTTTAAAAAATTGTCGGCTCCTACTGGAGCCGATTACCAACTTTATTAAGAACGGTTTTAAGCTCTGCATTATATTATCTATAGCAATCGGTTATATATGTAAATATTTAGTGAAAACGTCATGTCTTTAAGATTAATAATTTTTGAGTTCGAATAAAAATTCAATTCTATAGAAAACCGGTGTGCTGAAAATGTTATAATTTTTCATAATTCTTTTTACAATTATTAAGAAAACTATTAAGAAATTAAAAAAATTATCTCCTATTAGTAACAACAAGAACCCATTTCCTTTTTTTATTTTAGGGATAATTGGAGTACTTCTGGTTGTAATTGTATACACAGACAAACATACACACACAAAATAAACAAATAGTAATGTTTTAATATTAAATTAAATATTTTTTCTATCATATGATGCAACTATATTGTCAAACTATGTTTTTCTCTTGTGTTTATAACCAGTTAATGGCTAAATTATAAAAGTGTATGAATATTTCGGGTACTCAAAAATTGTTTCCGTCTTCGTGAGGAATATCAACCATCACTAACCACACTGATCGCTATCGCCAATCTATCATCTTCGGTCTTTATCGTAACGTAAATACACATAATATTATTATTTTATGATCATCCGAACAATATCATTGGTACACGCTCGGATACTCTCTCGTAAAGAAAGGAATAATAATGTTTCATATAGATTGTGTGAAAGGCGTTTTTAATGTGTTTGCCTGTTTATATTTATATATATTCAATAGAAAGATACATACACACACACACACACACGCACACGTAGGTATATAATAATATGAACGTGCGCGCATGAGCGTGCGTATGTGTGGTGCGTGTTGATGTATGTACGTGTATGTGTGTGTGTGTGTGTGTGTGTGTATGCGTGCATGTCCGCGGTGAAACGCCAAGAGCAGTCCGTGTCCGCTGGAGTTAGATAAGCGCAGATACGACGCGGACATACTGGAGCCGAATGCTGCGTCCTTTGGTTGACGTCACGCGGCGATAGTATTGGCCGAAGGGTAGCGGGTGCAATTGTAGAAATGTATTTGTGTGCGTGTGCGTGTACGTGCGCGGCCGAGAAATTTGTTGGCTGTGGATCGGCGGATAGGGAAGGCACGACGGTCTAAGGAAGGGCGCGGGTGGTGGCTGATGAGAAGGGTAGGGCACGGTGTAGGCTGAGGGTAGGGCCCTGACGGTGGTACGTATGCGCGAGCTTTTTTGCGAACGTGTGCGCGCGTGCTTGTATGTACTTGCGCGGGTGTGTGCGTTTGTGCGTCCTATTGTGTGTGTGCGCGGGCGCCACGGTAGCGCGCGTGCGCTCGCGTGTTTGCGTGTGTAAACGGATAATGACGAGGAGAGGTGATATCGGGTCGTTGCGGGAAGGTCGGCGCGAAGGGGAGGTGGGTGCACGCTAGGTGCGTGTGTGTCAGAAGGGGAGGCGCGCGATTCGGCCGCCGCAGTGTATAATAGTGGTAGTAGTGTAGCTCTTGCAACATTCCGTGTACAATATCTTTCTTTTTCTTTTTTTTTTCTAAAACAAAATTTTTTCGCTTTTTCCACGTCTACCCATTTACAATTATACACATATTTTATACTATATATATATAATCGTGTTGTAAATATAATAATCATCACAATTACAATAATTATTATTCATCTCATCCGCTGCGGTACTTCGACCCCGTCAGCGCGACCGCCATGTTACCGGAATCTGGTGAGCACATACACACACACACACACACACAAACGCACACACACAGACACACGCACACACACACACGCACACACGCACATGCACGCACACACATACATACCCATGCATGCACAAACTCATAAATAAACAAATATGTATATATATTTGTATATATTAATTACGTGTTTTTTTTTTCGCGCGATTAACATCGTCGCGTCGCATTGGTAGTGCACTTGCAGTTATGCAGTCTCCCCGTATCAGTCATTAGAATGTTAGTAATTATTATTATTACCGTACAATTACACGCCGGATTATAAGTGTACGCACACGGTCAGAGTGATACTCCTAAACTGTTCGTTATTTTATTTTATTCCTCTCTCTACCCACCCGCCCAACAAAACGGTGAACTTTTTAATCGCATTCGACTCGTCGATCTTCTCGCGATCGCGACGTTCTTCCCGAGCCCTGCTGGCGGTTAACTGTACGTCCTGCGAACGGTGCAACGGTTGAACCGAGTCCACGGCGAGAGTACACGACACTTCGAAGGTGCACGGCGCGTACGCAACGGGCGACCGGGAGAGTGATAAGTGGTATCGACATAATACATTATGTAACCCCTCCGTCCCAGCGGTTGCCACCGCTGCCGCCGCCGCCGCCGCCGACGCCGCCGCCGCCGCCACCGCCGCTGACGGTCGTCGTTTCGGGGGACATTACGCGATACCGCGCGCGTCGCCCATTGTTCTTGTGCGGACTCACAGCACCGCACGTAGTCGTCGCGAACGTTCCGCGTTAACGATTCCCCGGGTGCCGTGCGCGATTTTCCAACGCGGCCGCAGTAATACTACACGCGTGTATCCTTCTCCGGATTTTGCCATCCGCGCGTTCGATTTCTCCTTCGCCCGAATCCCAGTACCGCACGCGCACGTTTTCTGGTATCTAATCGAGTGTTTTTATTCCCGTTCTCTCCGTGACCCTGAGGCAAGGGACCCGTCGTTTTTTGTTTCTCAGTCGCGGCACAACGTCCGGAAGTCAACGACCGCAATAAAATAATCGAAATCTTCCTCCTCCTCCTCTTCCCCATTATACACTTCCCTCTAACACCGACAAACTATTTCTATATTCGTGTTTGGTTCGCCGATACATCAGGTATGCGCGTCTCGCACAAGTAGAATATCCGTTGCCTATCGATCGATATGGGTTTCATGTACACGTAATGTTCCGTACAACAGTAGAAGTAGCGATAAATGTAGCGATAACAGTATTGGTAATAACTGTAACAACACTAACAGTAGTATCCGTAGTAGTAGTGGTAGTAGTGGTATTAGTACTGTCCGCACTCATCGAATAAGTTGTATTTTCAATATTATTTATGTGGATTTTAATGGTATAACCGTAGGACTTACTAACTTACACATTTTTATTTGAATTCACGTAAGTTTTAATTGAATGTACCTAAGTGATAATTATTCGAAATTTGTTTAGTTACCGTCACAAGTTGGAACTAACAGGATGACTATAATTATAAATATTATGCATTTTTCTGAATTAATCATTATTTATATGTTCATAGGTACATTAATTAGTTAATAAATAAGTGAAATGTACTATCATTATTTATAGACTATCTTCAAAAATCATATTTACGTAGAAAAAACAGTAGAATAAATAAATATGTATTTTTGTTATTCCGGCAGTGACAAATTTGAGAAAAGGAAAATCATAAGTTGATCGTCCCTTTATCAATTTTTTTTAGCCATTATAATATTATGTGTTTATGTAAGGTCTAAAAATAAATAATTTTGATACAAATCTGATATGATTGTCCAGTTTTTATATTGTTCATAATACTATATAATGTTTGTGGTAAACCATATTTTAGATTATGCTCAACAATTTTAAATGCTTTAAATTTCATCTATATTATCTCTGGTTTTTTCTACATAACTCAGCTTTAGAAGTTCTGGATCTTATATTTTATTCGTTTTTCAATTACTTTTACCTAATATGATTGGCCATACTAGTGTCGTTTATTTAATATTAGAAGCCATAAGACATAGTTGAAGGTTCCAAGAAAATAATAGAATACAAATAAGGTTAAGTGTTTGAATAATTTTTTAATTTAATTTTTATTTAAATTAACCATATATGGACATTTTAATAATTTTTAATGTTTTTAAGCACAAATAAAGACATGTAAAGTATTTTTATGAGTTTATATTACTCAATAGTTTTACATTAATACATAAATCTCTTAGGCAACAAACTAATCTTTTAAATGTTTGAAATTTAAATATTAATTTAATGTCAATGTTAATTAAATGTTTGTTTAATACGTGTAGGTATAAATTTTAATATTTTAAATGATAATAAATAAACAGAATAACTTAATTTCATTGTATTTGTTCTTTGACAAAATAAAAAAATTGTATTCAATTTTAATAAAATATTATGTTTATAGTAGAATATATATAAAATTTGAACGATATATTTTTTTTGTAATTTGCAATTGTTTTTACCGGAAGTAAAAATAGTTCTATTTCGACATTAATTCAACATTATTACATAATGAATAAATTATACCATGAATTTATTCATGGTAAATAGATTAGATTTTAAATAATTTGTATAGCACTGCTTGAATATAAAATGTATTTCTAGTTTATAAAAACTTCTTTTATACGTAAAATATGTTTACTACTAGATAATAATTATCTTGATTTATAATCATAGAATATAAAAATATAATAATTATATTGCTAGATACATAACTATTCCTGTTTACGAATATAATCTATTTTTTTATGCATTGGTTGTATATCACAAACAGAAGTACAATTACTGCAAAACATTAAATATTTGTATTTTTACAGTAGTAATATTAATAAATTTATTTCACATTAGACGCTAATTCTTAATTTAACTTGATATGATCGTTCACATGTATCTGCACATTTTACTTTCGTACTTAAATATACTAAAATTTTCATAATTTAATTCGTTCTAATTGCCATTCAATTACTATAAAACTTTGTCTTATTTTTTTTTTTTTTTTAAAAAGTCTTAGCCCTTGAGTATTATTCAGTTATTTTTGTTGGTTGCTAGAACACATAATATAGAAGTATGGCTTCGTTGCTAAATTCCTATGTAGCCATCCATTCAAGAACTATAAATGTCAGACGTATACATATTTAAGCTATAGCTTAATCATAGCACCGAAAGACAATTGCTACTGATCAATTGCGTCATACTATAATCTTTATTTTTTATAGGACATATATTTATACACATTTATGTTGCGATGTTACGTCTTATTCATATATTAGAAATGAGTGTAAATGTAATTATTTCCTAGGTAATAGATAGTAAAGTAGAATAATTGTAAGAAAATTAAAATAATAAATTTTGATCTAATTATATATTATTTTATTTTTTTTAGGCTGTGATGTGTGACAGATAGCAGCAATGGCGGTGGGCACGTACTACTGAAGCCCACCCCCACCACAACCTGGAGCCCTTAACCCAGGCATCGCTGGTGCTCACCATGGCGGTCGCCATCATCCTCCTTAATATCCTCATCATCGCTACATTCACCAACATAAGAGGTAGTATGCATTTACAAATACTTGAATATGTTTTATATAAATTTCGTCTAAAATTTTATAGTGAATAAAAAAAAATAATAATATTAATAATGCATATAAAATCTAAAAAATGAACCCTTTGTACTTGATATTAGGTGGAGGAGAGGTGATGAATGTTTACTTGGTGTCACTGGCTCTGGCTGACTTGCTCTACGGTGTGCTCGTAGTGCCCTTTTCCGTATATCCAGCACTAGTGCAACAATGGGTTTATGGGAAAATCGCTTGTAGAATTATCGGATACATCGAAGTCGCACTATGGACTGTGTCTGCGTATACATTTATGTGGATTAGTGTAGACAGGTAATTAATAAAATGTAATGTTCCAGGGTGATAATAGAAAAATCAAAATATATTTTACAAATTTATTCAAAAATTAAGAAAATCAAAAGCGTTTTGAATAACATTTTTATGGTTGAAATAGTAAGGCTAATCTAGATAAATGACATTTTTTAAAAACATAAAAACAATTAGGGAAATAAATACAATATTAATCGATGGTATTCATTCTTAATGAGTGTGTATAAGCATGGATACTAGTTTTACGACCACATGACTTGAACGTTGTGAAATTGCCTATACTTAACGCCGCTTTAAAAAATTGAACTACTTCAAAGAAATATCAAGTATCTGCTTCTATAACCTTTCATTGGTAAAATTGTGTACATAAAGCACTTGAAATAATGCTTTATTGAAGTGAATCAATACAATTTAGTCGATATTAATAACAATGAAAAATTGTATCAACAAAAGACGTCAAAAAGTTTGAAAACAACATTAACAAATATCATATCGTGCTAATCGACCAATTTCCATAGTGCCCGGAACAAAGTTGGTCTTTTCCCACGTATACCGCGGCAATCGTAACAATGAATTTCCAAGCGTGTACATCGTCACGTAGTGTACAGTATGAATATAGCTTTGCGCATAACACCCGATATCACGCCAATCGGCCAACTCACGTGGCCGTCCGAACAGAGCAGGTTCGTGTGCGAAACACGATTCTTAGCGCGCGCGCTCGTAAATGGTAATAATAACACCGCGGCAGAAACAAAAAAAAAAAAAAAAAAAAAAAATGTACGTGCGTATGTTTTATTATTGTGTGCATGGCGTACACGCTACGATATTTACCGCGCGCTACGTTACCGCTTTGACAACTGCAGTTATGCAGTCGAATCGCATGACGTCGTCGCGTGCTCCGCGCGCTGCATAGATCCGTGCCATCGATGACGCGAGAAACATTAGACCGAAAATAAAAATAAATAAATATTTTCGCGTGCACGCGGATCGCACGTTGTGCAACGGTAATGTAGTCGGTTCGCAGTATTTCGTCCGTTTTTTACGCGGTTGCACGCGAGGGGCGAGAACTTTTAACCTAGTCGGGTGAGCCACTGACCAATCGTTTACGACGGAGGTATATCGTCTTCACGATTTACTAGCCCGCAGTTCCATGCACATTCCACGTGTAAACCACGGAACGAAATATTATTATAACATCATAGACCAACGCTCATGGAACATCAAACATAAAATCGCAATGCTCCAATAAGTATTTTCGTATTTCAACTAATACATCTATCATCTGCGCACGGCTTATTCTGTAAACGCGCAGGAAATAACGTGTGGTGTTAGTTGTACGCATCGGGTGCACCGTACAGTGTAAAATTATTGTGGCGATGGTTGCAGTGGTGCACAACGTTATTACTAAAATCATACAAATGTTCAAAACATGATGTTATTACGAAAGCGAACCGACTACGAGTTTGAGTTTTTTTTTTTTTTTTTTTATGGTGGGCTTATAATCCTTGGCACTGGTAGCTCAGCAAGGCGATCGGGACAAGTAAATTCCGGCTTTCGTCCCGTACCTTACGAGTATAATCTTATCATTCGTCTGTGTAGCACGAAGAAACAACGGAATTGCGATACACGGTCCTGTCGATCAAAGGTGATCAAAGCGTGCAAGAAAATAGAAAATGCGTTTTCGGTATTGTCTAACGAAATGAGAACCGACGTTCTTGATGTTCCATATAGTGTAATGAGTTGGGACTTGGACGTACTCGGTGTGTGCGTTTGATACACCCATACACGCGGTCCAAGTGGTATCGTCGAACAACGCGAATGTTATAGCCGTGTTCAATGCTGTACAATCACCGTGAAAAATTTACTGTGCAGTAACATAGTATTTCGTTGTTGTTTCGCGCGCTGCAGGTACATAGCGGTACGCAAACCGGTCAGGTACTTCACGGTGCAGACGCGCACCAGGTGCCAGTGCTGGATGGCGTTCACGTGGATATCGTCAGCGATGCTGTGCTGCCCGCCGCTGCTCGAGTTCGGCGATCCGGTGTTTGATCAGGACACGGCGGTGTGCATGCTCGACTGGCAGGGCATGGCGGCGTATTCGGTGACGCTGGCCATACTGGTGCTGGGCCCCAGTCTCATCACTATCCTGTACACGTACGTGTACATTTACGGTGCGATCAGACGGCTGCGGCGGGGATTTCTAGCACACGACAAGGTAGATGGCATAATTATGACGAGCACCCAGCAATACGGTGGTTTTCAGTCGTACTATAACAATAAGAATAATATTCATAATAATAACCAGTGGCGCGAATTGGGTGAGAGGTTGTAACCATACTCTGAAATGTTAGACTTAACGTATTACGATGTTGCAAATCATTCACTACGTTTCAAACACGAACTTGTATAGGTACTTAATCCGTTTAGTGATTTTATTTTTCTATAAACATGCATTTGATAGTGATACATTTATTTAATTTATTTATTTTTTTTCATTAATTTGATCATTAAATCATATGCTCGATAAAGAAGCGCGCACATTGCTAATTATTTGACTTCAAAAATGAAACATATAGTTAGTAAAAAATGTTTCATGCTTTAAGTTTACCGTGACAACACTTAAAGTCTTGAAATACCTAAACTTGGTATTTTCATTTTTTACCAAAAATGTTCCTCAACTTTAATCTTCATTTTGATCTGGAGCTAAGCTTTTTAAAGTTTTCAGATTAGTCTACTATAAGCCGAAAGCGTAAAAACCTTAGTGTTGCTAAAATATTTCTTTAAAAACTTTAATCTTATATAACATTGGTTCACGTTTTCAGTCTCATAATTTGGTTTGAAGTAATTTCATGATCAAAAGACTCAAAAAAAAAAAAAAATGTTTGTTAAAGAGCATATTATTTTATGTATCATTAAATAAAATAAAACAATAATACATGTTAATGTAGTGGTGTCAATTAGGTTTTTAGGGCTGCAGAAAATTTGTAGAGCAAACAAACTTGCCGATGTCTTTGCCCCCCCCTCTTGCAATACCTAACTATGTTTTGTCATATTCTAAATTTGAATAAAATTTATTACAATTACATTTAAATTAATACTTTGCAATACATTTTATGAAGGTAAGACAAGAATATGATATAAAGAACACATTTCTAGACTAAAATTAAAAAAGACCATGGTTCAAATTTCGCTAAACATGTTTAAAAAAAATAACCATTATATACATTATGATATCGTTACAAACTTAGAAATACTAAATACTCAATATAAAATTTGCATTAATCCAGTTTTAGAAGAGTAACACATATACAATGAAAAAAAGGAAAATAATTTTAATATTTTAAATTTACAAATCTAATTTAAAAATAATATCCTATATCAATATATTCAACATTTATATATTTCTTAAAATATTCATTTTAAATAATCTTTCCTATTAAAATACATTATTTCTATGTAAAACGACCAATTTTTCTTAATATATTCCTTCCTTTATTTTTTCATAATCAGTCGCCATTTTATTAACTTTGTATCATGTAACCGATTAAATAATTATAATACAATATTATATTTAATATTATATTAATATAATTTAATTTATAATATTTAATTAATATGTTTATACTATTTTTATATAGGTTTATGCTTTGTAAATACCTGATGACGAATTTTTAATTCAAAACTGGTCGTACGCATTATATAATAATTCTTCAGGTTATGCATTAATTAATTAATTTATTTCTACGTGTAAACTATTTATTTGTATATAAATTTACGAGTATCAACATTTACTAGTTTTCGTTTTAATTTATTATTCATATTTTATTATAAAATATAATTATGCTAGTGCTACAGTGCATCAACACGAAATTAATTATTGGTTCTTAAAATATAAATTAGTTTTTTTTTTATATTATTGATATTGCAGTTGGCATAGTTTTTGAATATTTAAATAAAATACATTTTTATTTTTAAAAAAAATAGTACACATGATATTTTAATGTCACATTTAAAATACTCTTGTGACCCTGACCCTGTAATATTTTCACGTTTACGACACTGTGTGACCCCAGTTTACGCCACTGTTAACACGATTGTTAAATTTGTTGTTATAGTTAAATATTAATGCATACTAGCTTATAGTATTGTTTTTTTGGTATAACATTAAATTAACTGGCCAGTTATTATTGGCTAGTAATTTGAAAAAAGGAGAAGTGTCTCAATTTAAAAATTAAGAAAATTTAAATGTTTATTGCAAACGTTTATGGGCAAGGAGTCAATGAAATTAATTCAAATTACATAATATTAGAACTATTAAGAATAAATATTTAGATATAAAATTATTTAATTTAATTTATGTAAATTATTTAAATTATTAAAAACTTTTGTGGTACTCCGAGTCCTCGAATTGCTTGCAAAACAATCATGTATTGATAATTTATTTTTGTTTAATTATTCTTCAGTGAAGATGTACGCCAATACTGAATAACAATATTATAATACGTTAAACGTGTAGTTGGAAATGTGTTTAGCATTATGCCATTTAATGTTATATGCCATTGTTTTATCTGCACGCAGGAATACGTAACAGCATTATCCGAAAACTTGTCCAATCCTACGCATGTCACGTCATTCGTGTTGATCGTGTCGTTCTGGGTTTGTTGGACACCATTGATGTCCATTAAAGCGTACCAACAGTTAGGTGGCGTACCAGCGGTGCCCGGCCAGGTCCGTTTCGCCGCGTTGTGGCTGGGCATATCCAACTCGGTGTGGAAAGCGTTTGTGCTCATTTTTCTTAGCCCGCAGTTCCGCGTCATGCTCAGATTGTTGTGTTTGACGGTATTTTGTAAACGGAAAAGTCGCGCAGAACTTGAGCTACTACAACTCGACATGGAAGATCACTTCCTCTAAGTTAAGTATTATGTTGATGTTTTTTTTTTTTTTTTTTTTAATCATTATTATTGTTAAACTTTGTTTTGTTATTAATCGAATGTTCTTCCCGAGAACAATCATTCGTCCATTTGTTTACGTTTTATTCAGATGAAAAAAAATGTTTCAAACGAAAACTAATTATTAAATTTGTCGTTGATTGTACCCCCGAACTCGTGAATGTATTCATGAACTAGGAAAATTTTTAATTAGTATGCCGATAGAATCAGTAATCATACATGTCATACTAAATCGTGTTTTTCGGAACATTGTAGAAACAAATTATTTTTTATAGACTGTTTTTGAATTATTAACTATTGTTTTAAGACAACTTGTAAATTAATAGATCAGTTAATCATGTATGAATATATATTTCACGGGCAAATAAAATTTGTACGTATATCATCATAATAATAGAGTTGGGCAACAATTTATCGAAAAATATCTCTTCATTCTTATAATTTTCAATGAAATAACAAATTTTACTTGATTGCAGGGCTTCCAATTAATAATCAATTTATACATAATTTATTAAATCTTATAAGCTAAATTTAAATTCAATTATATTCAGTCGATATTCAATAAATCGTTTTTATTTGAAAATAATACTACTCACTCTTAATACGGAGCCCAACTTTAAAAAAATGATAAAATTATTTATATGATTAACTTTTTATCATGATTTTGATTATCATTATATGAAAATATGCCTAATTTTTTTAAATCACAACGAATTTGTTTTGTTGAGGTTTGAAATGTTTGAATATAGGTGTAGTCCAATAATATGTAAACAAACGAAATGCGCATTTTAACATTAATCACTTTTGGAATTATATTTTAATACGAGTTGTTTGTTCCTACAGTAGTGTTATTATTATTATTATTATCATAATAATTATTATTATTTTTACTATAATGACTTGAGCCTGCCACATTTTCATAAATTGTTCAATTTAATAATTTCATCGCACCGATTGAAAAACAAACAATCAATTAAATTAGAATTATTTTCTAATTTAGTACATTCATTTGATTAAGATTATTTAATTTTTGAAAAACACCAATTGAAACAAATTTATGTTAATTTGCTATAAATTTAAGTTTTATAAATGCTACTTTTGAAAACATTTTTCGTGTTATGTATTATTTACGTATATGTATAATAGTTGAAAATTAAAAATTAAAATTTTAAAACATGAACGTTAATTTAATATATTTATCATGTTTTTATTTAAAATACAGAGTATCGGCGTTCATTAAAGAGACTTTAATACGTTTTGAATAACATTACAAAATAATTGCGAATTTTAATATCGATATGTTTAAAATTTTTTTAATAATTATAACTGTTTTATAAAACTAAAATATTTTGAATGCGTTAATATGAGAATAAATTATAATTATCAATTTTCTTCTGTATTTATTTTTAATTTCTCATATATTTTAATTTTTAATCCATCCATTGGTGTTTTCAATTATTAAAAATGTTAATCACATCTTGTACTAACCATACTACCAAATTATAATAATAAAAAAATCATAGAATATGACAGGGTTAGTTTACTTTATCACAATTTCGATCTTTTTCATATTATTATTAATTACTAACAATACTAACCACCTATAGTGATCAATCAATAATTATTATAATGTGTAGGAAAAAATTCAAGCTTCATTATAATAAAAATGATATGTACTTTGGATAATCAACGAGGCTCAATGAATATGTTTGATTGTAGTTAATTTTAGTAAAAAAATATTAGTATTACAAGAGTTACCAGAGACCCCTTTAGGTTTTAGGCGCGCAGTTATTGTGATAATAGCGTTATGGTAAAATTAATATTGTTAACTTTTTTTATTTATTCGCTCTAATCACCACTTCAGTCGTTTAGGCGCTTACAAAAAATGGGATTCGGTCGACATGTTTTTGATTATTTTCATTTATTTATGTTTATTCATATTTCATAAATATACACATCGAGTAACGAGATCGACCGTTATCCATATTTTGCAACAGCCCTTTTTTATCTGATGTACGATATAAAATGCACTTATATAGAAAATTATTGTATTGATATCGTTATATAAATATTGTGAGGAAATTGTGTAGTTTTTACATCATTTAGAAATGTTTTATTGATAAATAATTTGACGTTGGTATCGATCATTTTAATCAATATTGTTTGATGGCCAAAAATAAAGTATTTTTATTGTTTAAAAAATAACAATATAAATCGGTATAAATCGTTAGCTAACTAAAGCCATCCCAACATCGTTTTTTCTTGTGATTTAATTATCATAACCTGCTCGTACAGATGTTAAATTTGAAGGAGTCAGTATTGAAAAAGACTATTATAAGTCTATGATTAGATTTTTTTTTAACAAAGTGTTTACATTACAATCATTAATGAAATATTGTTAAGTAGTTTGTTATTTTTTTAATTAAAATTATGATTAACATTATGAAATAATAATAAATAATGTATGTTATATAAAATGATCTTCGATAAAATTTAGACCAAAATTGTTAAAATACAATTTTCATTTTTAAACAGCTTTTATTTGATACTGACTCTTTCAACTACACTATTTATTGTGGGTTGTTCATTTTATTTTTTAATTGATCATTGGCCAGTCGTCAAGATTGTTATTATCACTGCTGTACTAATATACCGATATACAATCAATTTGTACGATTAAAACCACCTAAATTGTTATTTATTTATATAAAAGTTATCCTTATAATAAATTAATTAAAAAGTAATCGTAGATTAAAAATACATTTTTATCACTCCTGTATTTTTAAGCACCAAATTTGGTGAATACCAAGGTTAAGATGAAGAAACTTTCTTATAGTGAAAGTTGACTGATAAACATTAGGAATACTACTAACTTTTTTTTTTTAAATCTATTTTAAACAAATACTTTATTAACATCAATGTTGGACAATTTTTCAAAATAATTACTGATTTTTGACAATATTTTCTTCTTACTCCTAATGACATCATATAGTAAAATGAATAATGTTTGGTTATAGTTTGCCAATTATTTTATTTAAACTAAACCAAATTACTGACATGCTTTTATTTATTTATTTATTTATTTTTTTTTTTTATTATACATATATTATAATTGATCATATTGTTATTATTATAAGTGTATGTTTAAGACTGAATCATTTAGTAGATTTTTGATTAGATTCGTTTGTTTACATTGTTATTAATACAGCTAATTATTATTATTTTATATTATTGAAGTTTGATTATTTTTAATTGGCTTGATATATTTTAAAGAAAATGTTGATATATGAGTTCTTTGGAAACGAAAATTTTTATGAGTTATAAGATCAAGTAACTTGTGACCTAAAACGCTTTATTGTAAAATATTATAATTATTGTCTTTTAGGGTGAGTCGATTGTTAATCAGTTTTTACCGAAGTACATGCGCATGTATGTTGGAATAATAACCTACTACATATTTTCATTTTTCTTTTTATTTAATTTATAAATAGTTACTCACTACACACATCAAAAAAGTACACGAGCAGATATTGTTTATTATCATTATAAATAATATATTGTAATGGGCTTTAAGAAAAAAAATGTAATGTTTTGTTAGTACCTACATCATGTATTATTATGTATGTTATTTCTATTCTTTATTCATTATTAGTATGATAATAATATTTAATGTGCCATAATTTTATATGTTATTCAGTTGTTGGTAGTGATTTTGAGATAAAATTATAGTACAAACAAGGTTTTTTCAACTATATTATATAGAAATCCGGTGTTTTTAATTATGTGTTATTTTAATACAATATTTATTACCTTTTATTGCCAATTTTTTCTGTTACGCATCAAATCTAACATATTATTGTTAATAATGAAATAATTCTTATTTTTTAAAAGTTATTTTTTATTTTATTAATAATTCATCATTAGTGTACAATTTCCTACTATGAAATTATTTCGTAAGTTGAAAAAAAAATTAAATATCAATAGTATTTAATATTTTAATAATAGCTAGTCTGTGTATTTTATCATCATTATATAGAGTATACTTATATTCATGTATAAGATACCATAGGGAAATAATGGTTCATAACCACAACCCACGATGAAAATATTATTTTTTATTATATTGTTATTTTATTATTAATGTTTGAATGTTTGACTAAATTTCACACATACTGATGAATAATTTTGACGTTTAATAGAAAATCATTTCTGTCTTGAAAAATCAATATGATAAATATTTATATTGTGTTGGTGAGTAGTTAAAATGGCAGCTAACATGAAGTACACGCCATGTTTATTCTTTGTCATTTTGCTTCTTGAAAATATATTGATAAAGTAAGGCACTTATTATAGAGATCATATATTATAAATCGGCTACACCGTATTTTTGAATAAGTTTATTATACATATGTTACTGGCAAAGTGTTGAATATAGGCATTCTATATAATTCCTTGTAAAATTTAGCAATATATTGAATTTAAATGTTATTTTCTATTATGCCTAGGTAATCTATACAATTTTTAATATTCCTATATAATGCCAATGTCATGTTGGGTAAAGTATGAAGATTATAATAGTATTTATCCAAAATATGTTGATTATTTATTTATTTATACATATAATTGATACATGACATTTTTAACTGCATACAATTTTATTTTTTTTTACCAAACATTTTTTGATTTGTATATGCATTTTACAAAACCTTGTCCAGTTTCGATAGACTATAGTATTGCTATTATCCGTTAAGCAAATGTACTTTCTACTGGAACTTTGACAATAGTTATTAAATTCTTTTTAGGATATTGTAAATTGAGACCATAAGTATAAAGACTTTAAAAGTTTAACTGCTAGATTTTTAAGATTTAGTCAGCCTTTCTTTGATTTTTTACTGCATTTTTATTATTTGATGGTAGAGTTGTTGGTATTGTGACTTCTAACTTTTCTATGGCAATAGTACTATTATTTTCGGGAAATATTAAATTATTATTTTTAAGTTAATTTTTTTCAAATTTTTCTAATTGTTCTTTATTTTCTAAATTGTTTATTACTTCTTCTGGTAAATTTAAAGTGTTAAGTCCGACTTTGATTTTACAGCCAAATAATTCTTAATACTTAATATTTGTTTATATTTATTACTAGACAAAAAAATAAAGGTATTTTTCAATTTTTGTCTTATTTGGTATAAAAAGTTTCGACATTTTTAAACATGTATGTTAACACAATGATAAACACTTTAAGAATGAAAAATAAAATATTTACATAAATTATTCGTACCGAATAGTATAATAATGATAATTTGTGCCGTATGCGATAATTGTTAAGAAAATAGTTATTGAATGTTATTGTTATATTTAATAAAATTGTCTAATGCACTAAGATAAGTTACTGTAGCAATATATAATTTCGTATCATTTTCATACATAGCTTCAGTGCGGTCATTAGCGGGTAGGCAACTTAGGCAATTACCTGGGGTCTCAAACTTAGAACAAATTCGGGAACCCACAATTTGTCAAGTTAGAATTTTTGGATATATTTAGGTGTAAAGAAATTGTACTGATTTTGCCTAGGGCTTCGCAAAAGCTTACGACGGCACTGCATTTCCTACATGAGATTCGGGATTCTATGGACTACCTAGTCATTATATACATTTTATACTTTTCCTGTTCATTTTTGGTATTATTTTTTTTCTAGGTATTTTATAGAATGTTGAATTAAACACTATGCCGATAACAAATACATAGTATTGCCAAAAGTTATGTATAGGTCGGAATAAAAAGTTTTAGAAATGGGCAAGTATTTCTAAGCGGTTTATAATGTGTCAATATTTAGTGACCTTGCTCGCTTATTCTCGTTTTAACAATCAACATTTACAAATCAACTAATGCATTGGTTTTTCCATACATTTATATGTACATGTCTAGTTGATTGTGTACAGATTCAATGTAAATATTTGTTGGAGACGTTTAAGTGGTATTTTTTTTTTACTCAGCAACATATATGTTAGAGCAGGTAAAATATAAAACAGGATAACAAAACTAGTATCGTAACACAATAACACCAATATCCATAAAATATGAAACGTTAAATATTTAATTAACGAATTAACATGTAATAAAAGACCGCTATAAATTAATAAAATGTTTGATCCCTAAAAAAGTTCGTGAAGCTTAAATACCTTAACTGACGGATTTTTTTAAATAATTCGTTCAAATTTAGAACTAAAAAAATAAAATAAAATAAAAATAGAGAATAAGTCTTCATTTCTAAATATTTTAAGTCATCTACGATTTTTAACTTCATTATTCTCGTATCAACGATAGTCGTTTATCAACGAAAGTCGTTTATCAACGACTTCTTTATACAATATGATTGATACGAATTTATATCAGTATATTGGCATTCAATTTCTATTATATATGAATACTAATCATTCTGCTGCTATGTAACAAGAAATTTATTTATTTTCTTTAAAAAAAAAAAAAATAAAATAAATTATTTTAAATTAAAAAATAATTATGAATTATATCAAAAACGTGCAACATAAGCCTTTTCTAAAACTACTTTGTTTATTTTATAAAATATATAACTTCACATACCTTCTTCATAAGAAAATATTTTTGTGATTTACAATAAATTTTATTTTTTTTAAAAAAATGAATAATCTCGATTATCTGGGAGAAATTGAAGCACCTTGTGAAAAAATCAAATGTCAAATTATGATAAATATAATGGAAGGAAAACAATTCTATAAAAGTAATATTAATACATATGTTGTTGTCGAAATTCCGTCTTATTTCCATAAGAAAACTGCAATCAGAAAAACAACAACTACACCATCTTATTTTAAAGTAACAATGAATTGCAATACATTATTTTACCCATTGTGTAATAACTGAACTTATAAATTATTGTAGAAATTTATAATTGATCTTCCACCATTATTATTGAATGATTTACTGTACTTGCAAATAATTATCACTGTAAGTAATTTTATTATATTTATATATACATGATTGTCTCTTTTTAACACTTTATGCACTTTTGAAGGTATATGAAACACATAATTTACTATTATTATCAAAAACTATTCTCGGTAGTACTAGTATAGGAATTTCTACAATTTGGTCAGAACCAGGTATTCGATAATTTATTTCCTATTATCCTCGTTATAATTATTTATTACAGATGTAACATATATGTTATTATAGATATTTATGTTATTTATTATTAATATTTTTTTGTTTTTATTTATTAGACAATTATATAATTTATGACTTTAAAAATTAAACTTTTAATAAAATAGTGTTCATCAAATCTTTTGATTTTAATGGACCATATTTAGATAACTTAAAAATATAAATTTATTTTTAACAGACCAATTGTTTCACAATAAATGGTTGATTTTGGTTAATCGTGAAAAAAATGACTTACGCATTAAAGGATATTTGAAATGTGATTTATTTATATTTCATGAAAGAAAATCCTTTGATAATCTAAGCCTGTTAAAATCATTGGACTCCATAGTTGAAGACAAGAGCATCGATAAAATGTTTGTAAATTATTATCAAATGAATAGTATGATATTGATGATCAATTTGTTCTGATAATTAGTTTGTTCAGTTGAGAAATATAAAAAAAAAAAAATTACAAAACGTTTTATTTAGGAATAATAAATTCTTCAATTATTATATTTTAAACTATGTATAAGTAATTAAAATATTTTTATTTTTCTTGAGCAAATTCTATTTTTTATTTTTAAGAAAAAATTAACAATACATTTGCATTGTATACATTTGCATACGAGTATATTATCATTGTACCATGTTTTATAGCTAAAATTTAAATAATTAATATTAAATTATAGCGATTAATCACAATTCTTTACAATAATTATTTTCTATAATAATTGATGAATGATGAGTAATAACATGATACTTTAACCTAAAATATTAGGTACTCTTTTGATTTTGTTCATTCTTCATACATTATCTTATATACAAAAATACTAGAATTCTGTTAGCAATGAATGGTTTTAAAAATACAAAGATAGATATTATTTATGTAATGAATCTATGATTTTTGCAAACGATTTCCGATAATTTTTATGAATTCTCAAACTAATTTAATTTATAAAACAAATTTAAATGCCCGTACGTTTACTATGATAACCAATTTTTTATCACTCAGTATTTTTTTAAAAAAAAGTTTTTAATAAAATATTTTTTTATAAATATTTAATTTATAATAGTTTGTTTAAATAAAATAAAAATTAAAAATATCTTTTTCCTATCTTGATATTAATTTTTTATTTAATAATTACTGATATTATCTATGCAGTAGGTACATATTTGCATTCATGTTATTTATTTTTATTCTATCTACGTATTAGAATTTAAAGACCATTCACTCACTTACTAATCACTACATCTTAAAAACGATAAAACTGAATATTTAACACAATAGTTCCTCTATTACCATTGATATGCTATAAGAAAGGATTTTTTGAAAATCATATTCTTAAAGGTCGAAAAAGTTTTTGGCTAGATATATTCTCACTTTTGTATAGGTTAGAAATATATTATTTAAGTAAAAATACTTTCCGAGCGAATTCTAATAATTAATTTAGTATAATACAAAATAAATAATATACTATGAAAATAATATATTTTAGTGATTTATTGATTCCAATTGGATACAAAAAGCCAACAAGTTATTTAGCGAAATACTCTATTAAAGTTTACAAAGGTGAAATGATACGTTACTTTGATGATGGTCCTAAATGGTTATCAATTTATTTTGGAATGTCACCCGAAGTATCTATAGTATCTTATTATTTATGGAACAATTGAATTGATTATATTTTAAACAGACAAGTATTTTACTGGACATGAACAGAAAAGAGTTAAATTGGAATAAGGAATTTTCAACAATAAATATATATCCTCCACTCAATCCTGTAATATTAATTACATTTGTTTTATCTGGAAAAATTGTGGCTAGCAGGATATTATCCATGCATAATTTGATCGGAAAAGGTGTGAAAAGACATTTTATTAATTTTCAAATTATAAAAATGAATATTTTCAATTAATATAATTTCAGATGGTATCCCAAGTTTTGGTCCAGCATTTTTACATTTTACGTTATTGGAAACTCAACAATATTTTGGCAGGATATTATTATCTGTACAAACAGAATTAGTACCACCCGAAACTGAAAATATTACAACATTGCATATTGAGAATATAGTTCCAATTCTTTATGAAGTAATAAGTTTACAAAATAAATTTGAACTAGGGTCACAATAAAACAGATTATTAGGATTATAATTATTTAATTTATTTGTTTAACTTTTTATGTATTACTATTTTGGTTTTAAATAACTAATCTAGAGTTAATAAATAATATAATAAATTAAGGACAGAAAAATAAAGCAAGAAAGAAGTACTACATTTATTTCATATCTTAGTAGTGAAAATATAAATTCAATTATCAGTAGTGACTTGACTTAGAAGGAGTGAAAGAGTATTTTTATAAATAATTATTTGAAAAACAAAAAAGGTGCTGGTTCTAAAAACACCGACCTAAAATATTTACGCAATTTTTTATACATATACAATTTACATCAAAATTAGTAACATATTTACAGGAAATTTATATAAAACTATGAAATAATAAAATTATCTTAGTATTTCTCAGTTATTATTTAGATTATAAAGAAATATTTTTAAATTACTTTTAGAAACAAATGTACCATAAAATAATAATAATTGGTTTAATTAGTCGTGTTAACCATATACACAAAAAACAAATTAAATTAAATGGCTTGACAATATCAATGGATTATGGTGAATATAATTTTTTATCGGAACATGAAAATAAAAGTGAGTAATTCGACTGATCTAGTGTTCATTTCACATAGGAAGGTAATACGGATTGTATAATATATGCATAAATGTAATTAGAAAAAATGTAAAATAGTCCAAAACAATTTAAATTTATTTAAAGCATAATTCTTTTAACGTGATATTTGTTATTTATTTTATTTTACAATATTAATAATATTACAATAATATTTTTTAAAAATAAATTACTTACAAATTAAAAAAAAGTATTAGGAATATCATTTTTTTTTAATTTGAACGATATTGTCAACTTGAATATTTTTCAAATGACTGATACTCTAAATCAGTGGTTCTCAAACTGTGGTACACGTACCCCTTGGGGGTACTCGAGATTTTTTAAGGGGTATGAATCTGGCCAACAAACATTAAAAATTAAATTATTTAAGTGGAAAAGGTGATTCAAGTTTGAAAGTTAATATAGAAACAAGTTAAATGTTGACAATGATTTAAAATTTTACTAAACTAAATTAGAACCCAATACTGATCAACTGTGCCAACAAAAACAAGCTAACCCTTTTCACTAATTTTTTTTGAAATAAACCTATTTTTGTTTCTGACATTTTTTGTGTATTAGTTTTTAATGAAATAAAAATGTAATTTTATAAATTTTTAATTTTTTTTATATTAATTTTAGTTTTTCTAACTAAGAAAGGGTATCCAAAAAAGTTTATTGACAGAAAGGGGTACAGTGTTTATAAAAGTTTGAGAATCTCTGCTCTAAATGTTATATACTATTAATTAACAATTTTCCAATAACTGATTAGAATTTATCAACTTACAAACACCAAATTACAAAGGGGTACACGTTGAAAAAGATTTTTATAAGTTATTAATCGAAGAAAATACAAAACCATGTCTGTTTTTAATTGTAAATTTACCAAGCATTGAATATTATGCAATGTATGCTAGTAATTTATTATCAACAACAATTAAAAATATGGTAATATATCTTATAAATGGTTAATGTAATATTTTGATGGATGGGCAATTGATAATTTTTTGTTCATACAGGAAACATGTATTTTTAAAAATACAAAGTATCTCAACTCTCAAAATTCTAATATTAATAAGATGAAAAATTTTCATAAAATGCTTATTACCTTATCCGCATACTGTCAACGATTTAAAAAATTATATGATGAAAATAAATCTATACAAAAACACATTCATTCTTCATGTGTTAATTATATGGTATTTTAAACATGTTTTTTAATGTTTATTGTATTTATTAATGTAGGTAGCTGTTTCTTATTATTTTACGATAATATTTTTTAAACATACTATTATATAAATTATTTGATCGTAATAACATTGTATGATTATGTTTGCAGAGATTATTTCAAAAAATGTGTTTAAATGAAATTAAAAAAATTAAAACCCTTAAGAATAATGATTCAGATGTTTTAAGTTTAATGAAAAAAATCAAACAAAAAATCAAAAGGCTATTATTTATGTTCCAAAATAATAAAGTAAATTTTTAAATTTACCCTGTTGCAATATATTAAAAAGACCTTTAATATTTGTTAGTATATTAATAAATTCTTATACTAAAACAAACGAATAGGTATATAAAACGGACTTTTTATAAATGTAGTAGGTACACTGTTATTAGCTATAGATAATGGTAATTAATGAAACTAACTGAATCAGTTCATCTATTAATTAAAAATAAAATGTATTGCAAGTCATTTGGGTTTAATTTAGATATTAAAAATTTAAAATTATTTTTATGGTAGTAGATGTTAATAAATCATTTGATCTTCGATTTTAAATTATAATTTTAGATGTTATATCAAAAATAAATAATCATTTTGATTAAGAATTTTTATTTTATATGCATTTTATTTTTTTAACGTGATATTTATGAAAATCATGTAATAAATATTAAGTTTTGATAATTATCTTTAAATTGTAAAAAAAATTATCTATTTTAGATACAATTTTGTATGAAAATATTTAACAATCGTTATTATATTTTCAAATGTAGTACCTGATAAAAAAATTGTTGTTGTGCACCTAAAAAATTTTACTTTATCTATTTTAGACCGAGTAAAGCTAGACTTCTAAATCTTAATATAAGTACCTCAATAACAATGTTGTAGGTTAAATGATCTAAGTAATATTGGTTTAAATGAAAATACTTTATTTATTTTATCATTAATATTGATAAATTAAAATGCGTTAAGCATCATATTTTATTAAATGGGCTTGACTCTTTTAATATAAAAATTCCAGTAACAGATAAAGAAAAATAATAAATAATTATTCTTCTTCTTCTTCTTCTTTTTGAGCTTTTACGGTTCTCGAAGGACTTTCGTTGCCTCTACTACATTCCTTTATTCCTACATTCCAATAAATAAAAGTTAATAAAAATAAATAAATAAATAAATATAAAAAATAGAAATTAATTAACATTATATTTTATAATACATTTTAAATATATATATTTCAGTCGTATTATGGTCCACCTAATCTTTTCTTAAATTTATGTGATGGTAAAAAAATTATATCAAAATGTCAAATTCAAACAAGACACTTTTTATATTCGATTATTCCAGAGTTTGAAGGAAAATATTGTGGACAGATTCAACCTTGGTTTTTGGTTAGTAAACTGAACTAACCTAACTCTGATATAGTTTATAATACAAATACACAATGCGTTAATATTTAATTATATGAAAAAGTTTACATTTATTTATAAATACCTGTATGTTTTATGAAATCATCATTACACAATTTAACTATATTACAGCGATCAACTGACAAAAACGATAATTTATTTGATGAAATTACGGAAACTATATTTTGGATAGGTCCATACAAGGATTTTAATTTAGGACTAATGAAAATGCCTGAACTTCTGATAAGTGAATGTAATGATCAACCTTGCTTGCAGTATAAATTTAAACAATACGACGAAACAGTATAATGTATTATTTATCGGTTTATTTATGTTTATTTACAATTTTGTTTCCGAATATATATTTAGTTGTTACAAATCAAAGCACATATAAGTCATGCGGCACTTTCTGAAAAGTATTATAAAAAATATGGCTGGGCAAATTTGATGGTACGAGTTATATTTGAAGGCCATTCATTGAATACAGAAGTATGGAAATACCTATAGTTTAATTTTATAATTTTTAACCGTTTCATGTCTTAAAGGTTAATATTATAACTAGAGATAAGATTTTGATGTAAATACATCTTTTTTTCTAATAACCCAATACATAGGTCCAAAAGAGAAAATGTGATTCAAGTAATACTGATTAATTTAATGTAGTTTTTATTTTATATATTTTTGCATTATGTGACAAATTTATCTTTATATGCATTTTTAGGGTATATGTTGCTGTTTTAAGGGAATTTTCAAGTTTTTAGAGCATTTTTCATAATTTATCTATAAATTCTAAAATATGAGAGTGGTATTTGATTATGTGTTTCGGCATTTGTTCGCTCAAAATTTGCATTTACTATATAATAAACTAATAAATACAAGCATATCAATCCATATACCTATTTTATCAAAAATAGAACAAAATTAATAAAGTCGAAGAAATTTTTTTATTTATAAGAGTCCAACAGCGATCGTAACAGCAAGTTATGAAATAAATTAATTTTTTTTTTTTTTTAACCACTTTTTTTTATATATTTAAGTAATTTACAATCTATACAACATTATGTACAATGGGTAAATTTGATAGTTAATATAATGTGAAATAAAAGAATTTAACATTTAAGGGCAGGCACTCAGCAGCACCACTCGACCGAGAACATTTTGATGTCGTGTTTTTTTTTTTTTTTAATTTTTTATTTTAATAGGTCTCTAGGCTACTGTCTTTTGAGTCTTCTATGTACATTGCCAGGAAGTGAGGTGGAAGAAAGTTGCTTTATTAATGGATTACTGTGAGAGTTTAAGTTGGAGTGAAATTTAGAGTAAAGTGCTTTTGCTAATTGATTAAGTGTAGGAATTTTTAGGTCTTTGTGAAGATTATTGTTTGTGAAATACCAAGGAGAAGATGTTATTAATCGTAGGCAGATAGATTGAAAAGCTTGAAGCGTGTTGGTGTTAGAGGGCTTTGCAGAGCCCCATAACTGTTTACCATATGTCCAAGCTGGTCGAATTATTGATTTGTATATAGTAAGTTTATTGGAAAGGGAAAGTTTGGATTTTAAGAGTGGTCTAAGGATATGAAGTCTAGAGTTAACAGTTTTGCATTTAAGTTTAATGTATGGACTCCAGGTTAAGGGTTTGTCGAGAGATAAATTAAATTAAAATAAGATGTCCCATAACCCAAGTCGAAAGTGTCATCAGTGGGTGGCTTCTTTCCCAAATTATGTAATTTCAAGTTATTTCTTCTCTCTTATCTTATTTATTATGTCTAGATATAAATTGTACATTTTCTTCGAAAAAAAAAATCAGAATAAATAAAATATAAAAAAAAATAAAAAAATGTAAATATTAAATAAATATAAGTATGTTTGGTAACATGATTATATAAATATATGATATACTCGTAATATAATTTTTAAACTACAATAAATACATTTTTTTACATATTTTTATAATTTTTAAAGCATTAATGTCCGAACTCTAATTATAACATTATAACTTACTGAAACATACGCGTATGTGTGAACATTGTTATGCATTATTTATTTATTAATTTTAAAATCACAATTATTTAGGTGATTAACTCAAATTTATCACCATCATGGAATGTATCAATTTCGTCCGAACCAATTAAATTTACTCAATATGGAGATGTTATTGAAAAATCTCCAATGTATGCAGTTATCCAACTATGTCACGTTAAAATAAAAACAGACGGATTGATTGAAGTAAGTTTAATATGAAATTAAATACTATTATCTTTTACTATTAATTATGTTTTTTGTTTTTATAGGATGTAATCGCCTTTGCTGTTATTAATTTGAAGGGAATAGAAATTACAACACGTTCAACATTAGATTGGATTGATATTGTTGACAGCTCGGAAGAAATTGCTAAAATATGTGTGGCTGTTGAAATTATTAAAGGATCAAATGAATTGACAAAAACCGTCAACGGTTTGAACGTTCCCCTATTGAATCATATCCAACCAAAGCTCCATAATTATCGGTTAGTTTTTAGTTTAAAAATCGAACACAAAATAATATATATTTATTACAAAAATGCTTTACAGACTAATTGTTTTGTTTTGGGGATTACGTGAATTCGAATTAGATCTATGTGAACCATATGTTCGAATGTTTTACTCCGGTACATTTATTGATTCCGATGTGATTAAAAATATAAGCTCCTTTCCGAATTTCCCGGATATAACGAATAAAAAATATGTTCTTAGCGTAGTAAGTTAAATGTAAGATAATTCATTTGACAGCATATAAACACATACTATTTAATAGGAATTACCTGATGATCCCAATCTTTTACCTTCAATATGTTTTCAACTTTATTCTAAAATAAAAAAAGAACACGTTCCACTTGGAATATGTGCTTCTCAAACCATGGATAACTTTTTTGTTCCTGAGATTTCAGAAACTGATCGAAATCTATTAAAAGGCGAATATCCTGTTCATTCTGGTAAAAAATAAATACTATTATACAATGTATTATTTCATTCTTTGGTTATATACTCGTTTTATATGTATCCATATCTTCACTAGTTTTCTAAAATTTCGAAACAAGTGATTGTTCTATTCTCATATTCACAACGTAAATATTTAAATATTAAAAATGTAAATTCACAACGTCGCTGTTATAAATATTTGAAAATTGATTCTTTTACTTGATTCCATCGTTTCCCCCTATGCTTATACTTATTGGCTTCACCCATATTATAATTTGGTAGTGGGCGTGGTGACCATGATGCACTTCTCTTTCATATTTCAATTCACTACTTAAGTCTGAAGACTTTAGAATGTACCCGAAAAATGAAATAATATTATATCGATCGATGAAAATTTTAAACGATCAATACCAATTCATTATTAGTTATTGTCATTATATAAATTATTGACATATGAAGATGAAGTCTTCTAAATTAAAGTGTGATTAACCTAATCTTTTTGGAAGAAAAGCGCAAATATGTATATTTTTTAATATTTATGGTTTCATTTATTTTAATACTTATTTTATTTTTATTTGTCTGCAAATAGTTTTGGATGTAGAAGAAGAAGATGATAGTAAAAAAAATGAAAAAATAAATAAAAAAATAACTAAAAAAATCACGTCTACCGTAATTAATGCATTTAAACTATTTTTATTTAACAATTATTAAATTTATTTTGTACAATTTTATTATTTTAGATGAAGTTTAAATTGAGCTATGATTTTTTAAGAAAAATAATTGAATTCATAACTCCATCAACTTTAAAAAAACTTTTATTATGGTTTTTTAAAAACTTAAAACTAGTTTTAACTGTATTGTACAACATAATAGTTTGGTTATGTCCATGTATCGATACAATTACTGTTTGGGCTTCAAACCAGTTTATACATTTCATTAGATATTTTGAAAAAAAGTATAATACACTACCAGATGACAACTTTGAAGAAGATGAAAATGATTTTAACTGGTGGACAAAATATTATGGATTTAAATACCAAAAGGTTCATTTTTCAATACACATTGTATTTTACTGTACTTTGTATTTTCTATTTAGTACTTAGTAATAATCTATAATTGAGTATTTATTCAATAATTTTACTAAACAAATAAAAATTTTTTAATATATTTCGATAATAAAAAGTTGATTAAGTCAGTAAAATTAAAACCAAATTTCACTCTTTGAAATTGAAAAATTTGAGAAACTAATAATGGTTATACAGCCTACCATCTACCGAAGAGTGGATTTAATTAGTACTTTTATCAAAATATATCTATGTGTCTATGATGTGTTATATATCTTATACCTACAAAGAATATTAAAACCCTATATTTGAAAATAACACATTACATAAAAAATGCCATATTTCTAAACAAATTTGTACCTAATATATATCAAGCTATAATTAGTTTTATAATTTTTTCTGTTAATATTAATTTATTTGAATATTTTAAATTTTATAATTTTTAATTTATACAATAAAAAACCAACTATTTTTAATAAAAGAAAAATAATATTATTTAATAACTATTTATTTGTAATTCTGTTGAAATTTTAATAAGTTTTAAATTATACATATATTTGTATATATTTTTAATTTTATGTATCCAACTTTTTTAATATTCAAAATATTTTATTAATTGATATTTTTGACTAAATTTCTGTTAATTTAATACAAATTAGATAAATCAACATTTTATTATTTTATTTAGGATTAGTATTTAAAAATAATGGTATCAACAGCTTTCATTTTTGTTTAAGATTTAAGTTGCTATAATTTAGTTTATTTCTACATAATTGTATTCAATAAATTATATTTGCGTTACAAATCTAAAAGTAATTAAGTGTAGGTCTAAAATACTAATTTTATAAATATTATGATTACAGAATAACATGCAGAAGAATAAACATAATATTATTAGTGCATTTTCGAAAATTCCATGTAAATTTCTTCCATTTTGTACGTGCTGCAGAGATCAATCTAATAAGATCTATCTTGCCAAACGTTATTCAAAAATAAAACCTTTAACAGTATAAATATTTTTGAAGTATATTATAAAAATGTATTTTAAAATTTTGTTATAATCTTTTTAGATCTATGATAAAGAATTAGAATTTATTCCTGAATTTGGTAAATTTGAAGACAATATAAGAAAATTCAAATTCTACGGCCTTAAAGGAGATCATAAAAAACCAAAAACTATTGCTATTTTAAAAGTAATGATTATCAATTTCAAAATTATTTTATTTTTCTTCGCAAAACTTTTATGAAATAGTAAACCGATTTAAATTGTCTATTAAATAAATTTGCATCAAATTTTGACTAGTTTATTTAAAACTTTCACTTACTTAATAATAAATTGATAGTTAAATAATATGATTTTGTCAATATTTATTTACTCGCAGGGGAATATACACTTATATCGCAACTCAGTTAGTAATGATGAACAAAGTGTTTCGAGATCAAAAGAATTTTACTTCTCCGGTAAAGAATCTCAATTTTGGCCACGATTAAAATTGAATGCCAAATGCAATATTATTGTACGCGTATACATCTTGAGAGCACATAATTTACATCCTAAAGACATAAATGGATTGTCAGACCCATACATAAAAATCTTATTTGGAGAGTGCTATAACATTTCGGATCAGAAGAATCGCATACCAAAATCATTAAATCCTTTATTTGGCAGGTAGGTAGATAAATTATATAAAATGTTTATCCAATAATATATTAAAACTGCCCACAAATTTACAATTGTAAATTATATTTTTATTCTTTGAATGATATTATAATTCAGAATCATAAGATAATTTATACAAATAGCATAGCTGCAACAGGATTATGCAACTTTTCCTTTTTTGACCCGACTAATTACAAGACGATTGCGCACCAAATTATATGTGTATATACTATGTATAGTAAGTATTATAATGTTACTTACAATAATGTACAATAATGTACAACATAAAATAATGTATGCAATACATATTTTCTATAATTTTCATATACATTCACTCTAACTTATTACCTATTAATTCACAATTTTCCGTCCCAATTATTACAGGCTTAGAATTGTCAACAAATTATTTTGTTGGCTTGGTTAAAAATTATTCTTTTTTTTTAAATTTGTGCTAAATGTATTTACAGAAATAGTCAATATTTGATTTTTTTATAAAGATTTTTTTTCTATACTACCATAGTAATTAATCGATTTTTTTTTTTTTTTTGTTAACATATAAATTGAATGTTGTTTTCTTACTATTTTCGTAAATTAATTTAATTAATTAAATATTCTATGTTGTACATACATTATTATACATAGCATATACACATATCATTTGATGCGCAATCCTATTCTGATTTTAACAGGTAAAAAGGGATCCGGGCATAATCGTGTTGAACATTTTTTGCGCAATCCTGGGTAATTAGTCATGTCAAAAAAGGAAAAAATACACAATCACACTGTAGCCAAATAGTATTGATAAAAATTCATACATTTTTAATACTAAAATTTTTTTACATTTTGTTAACAAAACAAAAGATGTTATGAAAAAGAAGTTTCCTTACCAGAATGTTCAATTTTAAAAATTAAAGTTATGGATTATGATAGATTTAAAAAAGATGAACTGATCGGAGAAACGATAATAGATATTGAAGCAAGATATTTTAGCAAACACAGAGCTCACTGCGGTCTACCAAAGCAATATAACAAGTAATTCTGAGATATATGTATAGTAATTTAACATTCCTATAGTAACCATATGTAAATTATAATGTAAAGTAAGTTTTAAAAAACATATAACAATTATAAAACAGTAAACACAATACATATTTATATATTAATCTATATATCTTATCATAATTATATTTATATAATTATGCTTAACAATAAATTCGTTATTTAAACTAACAAGAAGTTGATTATTGTATGATTAACGGTACAATATTCGTTAAAGAACGATTGAGCATATACCTGTTCCGACAACACTATTGAGCATAGAATATTTTACGTGACATTGTCACATTCGCAATCTCAAAATATTGTAACTTATATTCTTCACGTATTATTACATCAATTATTAAGATCCTAATGCCACACATAGTACGTTGTGTAATGTTATATATTTGTATATTGTACTTTATATTTTCTTAACGTGAATATAACAATAATTATTTTCTCGGAAAGAGGCAATGAATTAATCATAGTGAATTTTTACAAACATAAATTAATTGGAGAACCAAAAAAAAGATAATCTTTTGAGATGAAAGTATACCAATAATAAATGTTCAGCAATAATTTTCTCTGGGGTAGTTAAACGTAATGTGATTAAAGTTTCTGGGCAACACAATCACATTCAAATTTCAACTGAGAAAATAGAAACACAAATTTTGAGAGAAAATTAGTATTTATTTAGTTTAAAATTGAAATTGACAACATCGCAGAGTTTTTTATGCTTTTATGTGTAGGTTTCTTTTGGATTTTTATACCCTTTGATATGCCGACAAATTTGCTCAATCGTGTCGTAAAAAAGGCGTTTTATGTTCAATCGTTTTACAGCTACATTATTAGTGCCTAACAGTTTTTAAAAATAAAATGAGTAGTTTTCAAAATTGTATGAACCTATGAAGTTAATATAAATAGTTTTGTTTTGAATATTTAAATTATTAAAATTATTAATAATGTATCGGTGCATTAATAATTAATAATATAAAAAATTTATTTGTTTACATTAGAGATGGATATAACCGTTGGAGAGATTGTGAAAGCCCGTCACAAATTTTACATAAGCTTTGTTTGTTCCATACATTAAAACCTCCAATATACACCGAAAATAGCGTGATAATTGGTACTAAAATATTTAATAATGGCGGAAAAAATATAAAAGCTGATAGACAATCGTTGGCATTGAATGTATTAAACCATTGGCAAGATATGCCAGTTATTGGATATCATTTAGTGCCTGAACATGTAGAAACAAGAACATTATTTAATCCAAAAATACCTAATATACATCAAGTATAAAAAAAAAGTGAATGTTATAGTTTTTAATAATTTAATTTGTTTTTTTTTTTTTTTTTTTTGTAGGGTACATTAGAAATGTGGGTCGATATGTTTTCTAAAAATGATAATTTACCTGAAATAGTAGATGTGAAACCGCCGATTGTTGAAAATTATGAGCTTCGTGTAATAATTTGGTCGGTCACGGATGTAAAATTAATTGATGACGATTATTTTACAGGAGAAAAACATAGTGATATCTATATTAAAGGGTTAAATGTGTTTTAATAATTTATGTACACTGTACTATAATGTAATTAAATATTACAGATGGTTACCTAGTACAGAAAAACAATCGACAGATATTCATTATCGATCGTTAAACGGAGAGGGACTCTTCAATTGGCGATTTAAATTCTTATTTCTTTACAATAAAATAGAAAATATTATAGTTCAAAAGATAAAAAATATTTTTTCTATAGACGGTGAAGAACAAAAATTTTTACCTAGGCTCCATCTTCAAATTTGGGATAACGACCATTTATCTCCCGATTCTTACATAGGTAAAGTATATTATTTTCAATGTGAACCATGCTTCAATTTTTCAGTTTAAGGTTTTTTAACATTGGATTTGTGGAATATGCCTCGTGGCACAAAATCCTCATGGCGATGTACTACATCCGAGAAAGTACCACGAATAAATTTGTTTAAAGTAAAAAAAACACGTGGCTGGTGGCCGTTCATTTCCACGGAAAATAATATAAATTCAATTGTAGTTAGTATTCTGATAATTTTAGTCTATAATTTTTGTATAATTGTATTTTTTGTATCTCATATTAACTGTGTCATATACATAGGGTAAAGTAGATGCAGAAATACAAATAATGACGAAGTTAGAAGCAGATAAATCACCAGTAGGGTTCGGTAGAGATAAACCACAACCACTCTCAGTGCCAAAGTAATTTTCTCTAGATTCGTAGAATTATATAATATATAATTATTAATTAATAAATCTCCAATTAAATATTAATAGGAGACCTTCGATCAAATATTTAAAGTCCATTATGGAACCATTTAAATTTATGATTAGCAATGTATTTGTAGCCAACAAAACAAAATGTATATATATTGTGATTATTTTTTCCATATTATTATTTTTTATGTTATTTATTTATTCCATTCCCGGATACTTGGTAAAAAAATTAATGAACACGTGATAATAATTTTGTAAAAAAATATATATATATATTTATTTCTAAAAAGATAACAAACATGTGTTTTAATTGAATTCTTAAACATAATTAGCATTACACGGTTGTTGAATATAGTTAAGACAAAAACCACGATTACCCATGTCATTTGGCATTTCCACTGAGTTAGTATGGAAAGATAACCGAAATGGTCGTACACTACCTGTATAAAAAAATTATAGTTAAATAATAAACACAAATTTATATAATTTTACTAATTAAAATAATTTGTTATTAAAACCATATAATTTTCATAGAGTAGTCAATGTAGTTTTATTAAAAAACTTTTAAATACCTAGGTACTAAAATCAAAATTTTATATAAATTACTTTAATTCATACAAATTAAGATCAATAAAAATTTCGACACAACTTCAAAGAATTAACATGGATGCCATACCCCCCCCCCCCCAAGATAAACAGTAAAAAGTAAAACTTTCTCTGAGTTAAGCTCTAAAACCATGGTAATACCATAATATAAATTATTGTTATTTTAATATGAATTCCAAAATGTAATAAAATATAACATATTTAGTAATATTATTGGGAAAGAAAATGATCAATGAAAAATAATCCAAGACAATAATATAAGTATTATAATTTAAAAAAATTATATCTAAATGCTTCATGTACCTTATCATAGCTCAATAATTGAGCAAATTATTTTTAAAAACAAAGTCGCTTAACAAATTTATTCGTAAGTTATATATATATATATATATATATATTTATTTTGAAAATATTAATATCATAATAATTATATAAATATAATGTCTTACTAATTAACGTATTTGGAATCGTAGTATAATCTGTGTTTAAAGTACCACCACATAGTCTATCCACACATGTATTCGTGACTGATGTAACAGGTCCTTGCTTACTCGAAACACAAGGAATAATGAGGTAGTCAGAATTACAAGGACTCGACCCAACGCTACCAACGTTTGCTTGTACGGGGTTTTGACCCAATGTATTTCCAGTTAATGTGAACGCGTGACTTCTATTGTTCACTATATGCATTTCATGAAATTTAATTTTTATACCATTCATATTAATTAAACTAGTATAGTTACACTATTTGTATCTTAATTCTATAACTACTCACTTTGATCATCACAAGCTGAATATTGTACAGAGCAGAAATTACGCTCGGTCCTCAAGCATATTGTGTAATCCTGATTTGATAAATGAAGACCAGAAAATGATTCATAATTAAACGACTTCACCGTACCCGATATTCCAGTGTAATATTGTAAGCAACCAGTTTCAGCTAAGTAGAATACATTTAAAATTATACATTATTTAAATAAAATTAATATTGTTCGGTTTTTAAAAATAACCTTTTGTTGTAGAGTCACAAGGTATCTGACTAACTTTAATTTTCCAATTTCTTCTAAAAATTATACCACTCGTAACCATTGTCAATATAATTGGACTTGTACCCGTGCCAGCATCTACGTACACTAAATAATACATTTTTATGTACAATATTGAACACAAAATACATTTTATTAATATTAATTAAATCATAATTATTTTAGAGAGTAAAATAAACTGGAATAATTTGATAAGCTAATAATTTGCTTATTTTTTAAATGATTTATTATAACAGGTAACAAGAAGTAAAATTACTTCAATAATATTATCATATTGTAGGAAAAAATGTTCTTTATTAACTTAGATACATACTGTGACTACCCGTATTTAATCCACAAATTACTGGTACGGGATTTGAACCAGAAACAATAAATTGATCATTGTCACATTGGTGATTAACAGGTTCGGGACCCGTAATAGAAAAACGTTCAAAATCTAATCTAATAAAATATATTACAATAGATTAAACCATTTTTAAAAATGTTCTTGTCTTATTTCCATAATAGGTATACTCGTACTTGAATTGACAAATGTGAGGGGATGTTTTATGTATGGTCACTTGACATGTTCCGGTAGCATTTAGGCCGTCTGGATATCCTGCGTTTACAAAATAAGTACCATTTTCGCGGATAGTCTGGCCACATGTTGACAATGCTAATCATAATAAATAAATAATAATAGTTAAAAGTTTTAATAGTGATGATAAAAAATAATTCTTCTTACACAAACAGCAAACGCCATAAGAATTAGCACATGATCCAATAGGTACTCCTCGATTTTGATAGCACTCTGCAGATGTCATGCAGATTCCACTGTCTCCAGATGACGAGTAACAAGGTTCATTATCGAATTTGACGATTGTAAATAACGAAAGCACTGAATTCAACAAAATCATAAACTGAAATTTAATTACAGTTTTTAACTATAGAATTTTAACTTACATCGATTTTGCTTTTTTGAAGTAGACTGCAGCTTTGATCTTCTATATCGACTTTTAAAGTTTTCTATCTCCCTATTATCTACTGTCTGTAATATAATACAGATATTAAATATTTCAGTAGTAACCAAAAAAACAATTTAAAAATTGAAATCTACATAACTGAAATTTAATTTTATTATTTTTCAAAATATTTTACTTATTAATTTTAGAAAAAATACACATATAATCATATATGTTTATTAATTATACAACTATTGTATAGTTAACATCATTAAAATATAAAATATTTTATTAAGGAATTAATTTAAAAGATATTTATTTTTTTAATAAACTATAAAACAATACTATTTTGGAATTTTACTAAAAGGCTATATTTTGTAAAGATACACACAACAGTTACATAATTATATTCTTTCAAAATTCCCCCAACACTGATTATATGTATAATAATATTTTTGGCGGAGAATTCTACTTACAGTATTTGAAATTGGAGCATCAATCGAGATATCTAATAATGATGTGACAATTGATATAGCTAAAGTCATAAAGATGACTAAATTTAGTGTTGAATTCATAACGTCTTAAATTCACTGTAAAATTAAATTGTCCAAAAAAGTTGAGTAAATAAAAATGTGTAGAAATATTTTCTGTATTTTGAACACATTTTATCATACCTATTAACTACAAATGTTGAGTTCAAACTGGAGTTTGTCAATTTTATACGAAAAAAATAATTCTATAACGCTATTGTTTTATTTTGAATAACAACAATTTTAATTTTCTCTTCATAGAGACAATGTAAATGGATGAAATCGTCATGCATACATTAACATTATAAATCATTTTTGTTACGTTCTTATGATTTCTACTTTTATTTTGAAAACAATTTTCCGCTAAATGTTTTACGGATGTAGTTATGTAATCATTAACTTGTTTAATTGATGTTATTTGTTATTTTTTAAAACACATTAAAATTATTTTTATGTTTATCAGTAAGTAGATCTCCGACTCTGAGTTAGTATTGTTGTATAATTAAATTGGTTCATTTTTTATCTATTCATAAAAATGTATACTACTACTTGCATAGGGCATTATTTCATTAGCAAAAACAATATGCAATATATTTATAAGGAAAATAATAAACAATAAAACATAATTTAAACAATACATAATAAACAGATAACTTATAAATATTTAGACAACACAACAACAATAACAATTACACTATCCACTAACCATGAGTTTTCACAATTTTATTTCTATTTTCTTCAGCTAGTTGATACCGTCCGATTCTACAACATGTAATTTTCCTTGTACTTCTTCAAAACGTGTTCTGGGGCAATCTTCGACGATATGACTTATAGTTTATGCCTTGAAATTTTGTGCTTTACTTAAACCCAATTTATGTAGTAAGTATTGACATATACCTTTCTTCAGTCTAATCCGATTCAACATAATCCACAGAGATCTTGGGAGATCAAAAACTGGGTCTCTGGAGTAAGGGTCATTCACTAGATTAACATTCTTTACCCCTGAGGTACTCCGTCTATTTTTCCAAATATCCTATAATGAACTTACACAGACTGTTCCCGAACAGAATGTCTCGACTTCAGTCTAAAAGTTAAGCTATTCATGATATCGGAGTATATAGGTAGATGGAGATTATTTTTCTCTTTCTATAGTATTTTGTTATACTATAGTATACAAAAAAGTGTATAAAATACCTATAATCTACATAAATTAAACAGACAATTATTGTCCAATAAATCGATTAAAATGTAGTAATTTAGTTATAAATTAATAGAAATAAAATAATTGATATTAGCAAAGCGAAATTTTTTAGCTTTAAATATAATTTTGAATAAAAACATATATTTTAAATTTCGTTGATTTTTCTATGTGTTTTAAATAAATTGCCGACAACACAGTCTTACATGTACATTTACTGAATGTATCCTAAAATCTTAACACTTGGTTCATTAACATTTTTGTGGCACCGTCGAGTAACCGGCGTCACGCTACAGACTGATAAGACTCTGGCTGCAACACGAATGCTCATTTTTTCCTTTTTAACCCGACTAATTGCACCATGATTGCGCCCCGATCCCTTTTTACCTGTTAAAATCACAACACCATTGCGCACCAAATAATATGTGTATATACTATGTATAATAATTTATGTACAACATAAAAAAATGTATACAATAAATACTTTCTACATATAATTTTCATATACATATATATATATATGTACATGCACTCAAATTTATTAGGTACCTATTAATTCACAATTTCCTTTTCCAATTATTATAGACTTAGTACGTCAACAAATTATCATCGTTGGCTTGATTAAAAATTGTTTTTTTTTCTAAATTACATGTAGGTATCCTAAATTTATATACTTACATGGTCATTTGTCGATATTTTTATTATAATTATCATTAGCTCAATCAACATTTCATTTAAATTTTGGAAAAGTGCATTTTGTGAATTAATATTTTGAGTGAATGTATATTCAAATTATAGAAAGTATGTATTGTATTTGTTACCGGCAATATGAATAATTCGGTTTTTTGCAAAATGCCTAAGCATTAAATAAAATGCCAAAAATCACTCGGCAATATACATAATACGAGCTTTACCTAAGTATTATCATTGATTATAGATACTATCTATAATCAATGGTATTATATATAATGCCAAACGTGGAGTAGGAAATATGATAAAAACAAACAAAATTGGTCATCGCTTATTACCAACGACTTTACTTATCGTTTATCATAAATGTGCGTGCACGATTTAACGCAATGAAGATTTTTTTTTTTTTTTTGAAACTTTGCATTGACAATTAGTCTCGACATTTAAATACAGCTCGGGTTTATATAAGTAGCTCGGAATTTAAAATAAAAGAGATTGTTGAAATGATGGCCAGGGGAGATTTAGAAGAAAGTATGTAGTAATAATCGAGGGGAATGTTAAAGGAGTGATGCACGGAAAAAAAAGTAAGCGCTCCGCTGACAAGGTAGAACAGTGGAAGAGGATATGATTAATATTGCAAATGACTGGAGCATGAGCAAAAATACAGAAAGGTGAATCGTTAAGCAATAATTTAAATGCATGTGTAGGGATAAGAATGTGACCGAAGCGAAGGCGTGAAAATTAAACGATTATTTTGCGAGATAATTTTAATTTATAAAACCAAGGCTTGGAAAGAATAATATAATTTAGAGATCTATACCAAGTGGCAAAATGTTGTAGAAGATTATTATAAGAATCGGAACAAAGATGGTGGACACAAGATTTGAGTTTAGGACAAAAGTCAGACCAGGGAATAAGATTGAAGGGTGGAAGTTGGATTAACGATGTATTTTTAGCTAAAGAATTAGCAGTTTCATTATCAATAATACCTATGTGCCCTGGAATCCAGAGAAATTGGATTTCAAATCCCATTTCATTAAGAGAAGATAAATAAATTCTAATTTGAAGGATTAGAGAGTTAGGTACCTAGTGATTTGAATACATTAAACGAGAGAGATTGTAGACAAGTGAGAAAATCAGTAACAATTAGGAACTTGTTGGGTTGTAGGGTGGGGATGAGATTGAGTGATTCAACTATGGCAATACATACTGTTGTATAGGATGATGCTGTTGATGGAAGGTTGTTTGTAAAAGAGATGCGTAAATGTGGAATAATGAAAGAATAACGGGCAGATATCGGTGAAACCGAGACGTCAGTGTATATTAATATGAAAAGTGGAAACGTTTTGTGCATATATTCTTGAAAAATACCATAAACAAAGATAGGGGAAGAGGTTTTAATAAAATCTATTGAATGACTAAGGAAATTATTTTTGTAATGAATTTTAGGGAGGAAAGTTGGCTTCATAGAAGGGAAAACTATTAGAGTTAAGAATGTAATTACGACATGACATTGAGGAATGTGCGACAGAGACAAGGACTGGAACGGATTTGCTTACATAGCACCAAGCAAAAAATACATCTATAAAGTATTATACATATTGGGATAATATTTTGACAAGTCTTTGAGGAAAAACTTGCCAGCTAGCCATTTAGACCTAATATTTAGAGGTTGACAGACCACTTCGACTTCAAGATTAGGAAATGGAGTTGATTTAAGGGCACTGAGGATGGATCTGTTACATGAAATTTGTAATTTATTGAGTTTGGAACGATAAGATAGGGCAGACGAGCTAAAAAAAAAAGCTACCGTAATTTTTGATTTCATTTTTCCAGCTATCAATTGTACGAACTCAAACACAAATATAATTGTATAAACTTACTGAAATTTGTAACAAAAATTAATTTTTTTTAATACGTACACGTGCATATACTGTATATACACGTGCATATACTGTATATACACGTGTTTTTTAATTACACGTGTATATACACGTGTATGTTAATTACACGTACTTCGTGTACACGTGTATTTAAATTACACGTTTAAAATCACAGGCACTAGTACTTACATTTTTTTTCACATTTTAACAGACTTAGGACTGCCTATGATCTATTTAGACCACCGACATTTATATTTGTAAAATTCTAATAATTTATATTTTAATGGAAAACTGTAAAAAACATTTTTAATCATACCTGTAGTCTTAATTGACCATAAACAGTCCTAAGTCTGTTAAAATGGAAAGGAAAATATTAGTATAGTGTAGTACTTACCAAAAAATATTTAGGAACTAGTGTAATACCTAAAATAATTCTGGACCCAACTAATATAGTACCTATAAAAATCCGGGACCCCCAACTATTACACTACCTGCGATTAGCTCCTCATACTCAGAATCTAACTCGGATGCGCCGAAGAAAACAACATTGTACATTGCATTTTTTTGTTATTTAAATAAATTTCTAAGAAATACATACATATTATATACGCGCGGGCGTAATCTAATTAAAAAAATTGTATACCAGCAATTAAGACAATTCCAAGAAAAATAGAAACAGGCAGGTGTTTTGTAAAATATAGTAAAATATAATAAAAGACTCGTAATAGAATAAGGAGCGCATCAAAACGAGGTTATCTATCAACATATAAAAGTACTCTGAATTGGCACTAAATTCAGACATATCCAACCATTCAGTGTGGAAGCTCTGCTTGTTTTAATCATCATCAACTCTGTTGATTTTTATAAGTATTAAATAAATTATCAACTATACCAGAAAAAGTATTTTTTACAAGTATATTCATTGAAAATTGTCCCAGTCTTAACATTTAGTATTTAACATTAAGGTGGTACTGTTGAGTAACCACAGAATAGATACACCTTAATACCAATTAAATAAATGTAATCTCTTCTGTATGAGCCATTATTCATTTTTCCACAATAAGTTATAGATTCCAGATTTCATAAAGATCATCTATTTAACATTTAAAGAAGTAAATAAATATATATAGGTTGAAAAATATTATTCAATTAAATCTGTCATTAGTCAAGCGTTGCCAGGTGAGCAGTTAATTATATAGTCAAATAATTTATAACCGTTCAAAAATAATAAAAATATAGTTTATTTTTTATTTTTAAAATATTTAATACAAGTATTCATTACATAATTATTATTAAATTAATAATAGTTTATTCATTTTGATATTGAAAAAATGCTGTGTCCTCTCATCTTGTTATATGTTGAGCACATTGCTCCAATAGTGTATACAAATCCAATTATCAAACAACTTCCACCATATACTAAAAACTATAAAAAAATAATTGTAAAATAGATAAAAAAAACAACATTTCATTGCCCAAGTTTTAAGCAATAGATATTTTTAAAACAAAATATTCTAACACAATAATACCCCCATAACCTATAATCTTTCTAGGGGTAATACATTGCATGCATTAGTTTCCTTGAGTATAAAAAATTGGCTTTAATAACACATTGATAAAAGGTCAATGATTTGGCAGATGTGTTGTTAACACTAGTTTTATTTTTTGTATACTTAAAATTAAGTTATTTATTTATATTCAAATGCTAGCAATGGTCAAAATATGACTTTTATATTTATTTAATTATTATATATTGTAACTAGCATTGCTAGTTGTCATCTAAAATCAAATATTATTTCATTGTATGGAAGTTGAAGAATTTTAAGTTCAATTTTATAAAATTTCTGGTTCACAAGACTTTATATACATTAGTATTACAAGTATTTGTAATACATAATTAAATGAAAATTTATTTTAGAAATTAAAGGTTAACTTATATGTATTTTAAAAAATCCTATTTGTAAAACAAATTTATTAAAATTATTGGTATATTATAAATTAAAATATAATCTATTACGTAGAAATGAATTAATTTGTATAAGATTCTCCAATAGATATTTTAACTTTATTTTAAAGCAACTAATAATAATAATCTTACTTGTGTTCTAATGTTTAACATAAATCCTACTGGACTATTAACAATCACAGTCAAACACGTTTGTAATACGAGTGTAAAAAATGTGTTAATTCCAAACACTAATGCATAGCTGTCTGCAGGAATATTTTTAGCTACTTCACAACTAAAACAAATAAATACATTTTTATTAAGTTTTAAAATATACTTAAATATGTTCATCACCAAATACTTACTTTGCTACAGTAGCCATAATATGATAGAATGTTCCAAAAATTATATAGCCAACATATGCATGTGACAATAAACTTTCATGAGCCATTATCAACAATAAAATGCCTTGTCCTAAAGTAAGAATACCTACTAACCACCAACTTGACACTGTTATGATACCAATTAAATAAACACCCAATGTACCTAAAATAATTTAATTGATTATCCTTACTATCAATTAAAACTAAAAAATATAATTAAAATAAAACAAATAAGATACAATAATAAAAATTTTATACAACAAAATAATAAAAATAAATTAAAATTAAAAATCAGTACTAGTTAATACTCATAAAACAATATATAAATAACTAAATAGTTTATATATAGAAATAAATAAATAAAAACTTAGTCTGGAGTATTATTATATTTTTAAAGAATAACTGGTTTAAAATTAAAAATGCATTGTCTGGTATGTACACAACTATAAAATCGCGACTGAATATGAAAAAATATAATCGCAACTAATTTATCATAAAATATATACCACTAACAAATGTTTATTAAATTCATATTATATTTTGCACAACTAAAAAATAATTCTTTAAAATGTATTTTTTATTATTATAACTTGTCTGTTTTTACAAGTACAATAAATTAACTAATAATACACGAAAAAAAAAAAAAAGTATTTAATATTAGAATAGTTTTTAAATAAAAAGTAGATGCCATGTGTTTCAACTCTCGATCTAAGTAAATATAAATGTATACATCCTTGTATATTATTATGTTTTTAAATCTTTAAATTTTTATCAATTTGAATATTACTAAATATTTTAAAAATATAAATAATAACCATACATACTTATGATTGTATATGCAGCTTCCACAATTCCATTATCAGTAACTGGTAAATCAGTACCATTTTTATAAATTTCTTGCCATAATGATTGGGCATAAGACATAAACTAAATAAACATTTTTATTTTAAAGTAAAACTATTTAACAAAATAAAATAAATATATAATAATGTAAATTCAATTAATATTCAATAAACAAACTTAAATGTAGATAGATTAAACAATTTTCATATAGTAAAAATATTAGTCCTATTATATAAGCTTTTGTCTTTTAAAGTTAAAATTGTATAATGGTTTAAACTGTTTATTTACTGTATTAAAAACATTCTTACTACTTTTGAGTGAATAATAAACAATAAAATGTAGCAAAATATACTATCATACATTCCTAACCAAAATAAAATGAATAACTAATTAGGTATATTAAAATTAAATGATACAATTTATATGAAACTTTTAAACTAAAATGACAAGAATTTTTCTTTTAATCTTGAAATTCAATACTGAGAGACAAAGGAAGTATAGGAATGGGATATCAGTCAAATACTGGATTTATAATTATAATAGAAGTTTCATATAAATTTTATAGAAATTGTTTGTACTTGATAGTAAGAATTAATCATTGTAATTATGTAACTTTGCATATTTATAATAACAATACTATAAGAGAGACTAAAAAAAAAATTAATTTTGTGTCACTTATTTATTTAGTTAAACTTACTTAAATATGCTTAAATTTAATAATTTTTAATATAGTTTTTGCTAACAATAACTAAACTTTTTTAATTTGTATAGGTAGTAGTTTTATGATATAATAATATTTTAATCTTAAATATTTACTCATCATAATGATTTAGTTAAATATAAATAGTTTAGTTATTATGGATAATTTATTAAATATTGCCAAATAAATAACCAAAATCTATACTGTATATTACAACAAGGAAACAAGTTATATCATTAAACTTTTTTAGTAATTAAAAAACCAATGGTTTATTAAAACACCCAACCATATTTATTTCAAAAATCATAAATAGACATAACATCTAATAAAATTTAAATACATGTAACTCCAAAAACTTTCAGTATTTAAGTATCTTCAGAATATTTAATCAATAAAAGAAAAATTATAGAATGAAATTGAAAATAAAAATAATGGTAAGTAGTGGCAGTCTAAAATAGTACACAAGTCGGATATCTTTAACTTAATTATAAACACCTCATAGATAGTATTACCTAAGCAATTTTGCTTTCTATTATCTTATACAATTGAAATTTTACAATAAAACTTAGGTTTTTGTTACCTAATATTCAATTATAAATAATCAGTGTTTATAAAATAGTCAAACTAGTTTTTTTATAGATCTACCCAGTAAAAAAAAAGAATTAAGAAGAACGTTAGAATCATAGATGCTGTAATTACCATGTATCTGTCCTGCTGAAGATTTTACAAAACAAGTGTTTAACATTTGTATGAAAAGTCATGATGAAACAAACCAAACCTATAGATCATAATCATAAAGTAATACAAAAATTTTTAACTAGTTAAAAATTAATCCCACTGAAATTATGTGTTATTTCTTATAAATTATTCAACATTTGATAATTATAAAATTAATTCGAACCTGATAATAAAAGCATGTGCCTAAAGTCCACCAAATGGACCACTGAAGAACATAGCGATTGGTGAAAGCAGTGATGAAGTCGAACCATAGTCTTTGACACACAGTTTTAGATTTGGATACATTAACATCTACATAAATTATATATATTTATATATATAAAATAATTTTAAAAATGTAAATAATGCATTTAGTACATAGTTATTTGTAAACTACTAAGAAAACATGTATAGTCATTTCACCATGTTAATTTAACTCCGGAAACCATACTGCTGATTTTTATTAATATTAGTATTTCTAAAAATTAATGTGTAAATATATAAATACATACATTATATACATGCGTATCATATTAATTTAGTAAATTATTATATTTTATATATAGCATACTATAGAATGAAATATAACCCAAAATTATCAACATGTTTCTATTTTTATTTTTAATTAAATAATTATGAGGTATATATTATATTGAATGTTTTTAAACAATTTTAGGATAATGAAGGATTTATAAAATAAAGTAAATATTTGAATATATAATTATATAACAATGGTTTTCAAACTTTTATGACCACTGAACTCTTAGGAATTAGTTTGTGTTTTGTGAAACTCCAGTGTCCTTAACATCACCTTAATCCCAATGTTTTAATTATTTATTGAAAATCAATACACCAAAAAATATTTTAAAGATAGTTCAATACTATAGATTATTACAATTACTACTTTCAACACTCACATATATCTTGCGGAACCCTTAAGATTGTCATAAGGAACATATTTTGAGAATAGCTGTTATATAAAACTATAACTTATATTTAACATTTTTAATTACAATATTAAGACTTAATAAATGCTTTAATAATAAACAATCTCTATTAAATATATTAAATATGTTCACACAGTTATACAACATGAGTAACTTTTTAAATCTTTATATTTATTTAAAAATAAAAAGATAATATTTGATTTATATATTTTTAATTTATTAAATTCACTGTTATGCTTTATGATTGTATTTTTCCATTATTTATTGTTATTAATATTGTCAAGTTTTATCAGTTATATTATAATACTATAATTTATCTTAAATATAGATCACAAAAAAATTATAGATTGGCTTTTAAAATAATACATTTAACTACTTTAAATGTAATTCTATAAAATAAGACAAGCACTAAGCAAAATATATTAATAGGGTTATTTTGGTTAAACTAAAACATTTCTTAAATACCTGTATTATCTCGTATATAAGTATGTTCAGGACTTTGATGAAAATATAAACTACTTTTAATTGAAGGTAATCCAAATGCCCAAATTATCGATGTAGCTGCACCTGTAATGAAATATGTTGTCTCATAATTGAATTAATCACTTATATGATTAAATAAAAGTAATAAGACTCACCTACAAGTGTTAAATAATTTAATTGTTGTACTGTTAACACATGGTAGTCAATTAGTACTTGAGCAAGCAAAGCCGATACAAGTCGGCCTAGTAAACATGCCATTTTCATGTGACTAGAAACAATTTTATAATGTTTTTTATCTACTTTTGAGTAAATGTATGTATAATATGCTACTTCGCAAGCTATCATGTTGCCATAAAATACTTCCATTATCTAAACAGAAAAATATTATATATTACTAATGTATAATTAATATAAAATAAATCCCAAAAAATTATAATCAATATTCTACATTAAATAATGTAGTTTAGTAAAATAATCAATCCAAGAATTTAAATTTAAAACTATTATTGACACACTCCAAATCTTACAAATTTACTAATCTTACTAATATTATAAAACCATTGATTATATAAACTGAAACAATATGTAAATATATAAGATTATTTAAGACATTTATACAGAATCTTAATTAAATTAATTGTTATGACTTAAATTTAAGTATACAATAAAATGTCCAATGAATGAGAATATATATAAATTAAAAACTATAATTAATTATTTTTGATGAATAAGGATCCAAATGAAAAACAAATTGGAAAAAAATTACTCAAATTACAATGTAACAAATAATACTACATTGCATTTTAATAATAACAATTTTAGTGCAATAAGGAATCTATAATTTTTTAACTTAGATTGCAATTAATTTTAATAATTATAAGAAAGAATCTAATTAATTAACAATAAATCCTTAAAATCATATATTGAAAAATAAAAATTTAAATGCTATTACATTTATAAATTAAAAATGAATAAAGGGCTAAAGATACAAATAATTTAAAAAATAAAATTATATAATAATAAGAATTTTTGTTTTTAAATCTTATGTTTTATTTTTGTGGATATAATTTAAAGTATTTAATAATTTGTAATAAAAAATTTTAATATTCTGTAAAAATTTATTATTATATTTAATATTTGTAACTTATAAAATTTCCAAATGGATAGTTTATAAAATAATTAAATAACTGTAAAAATACTTTACAATATGTGTAATAACTTACCTACCTTCATCTCAGTCTTGGTTCGACAAAAAATCAACATTATTTGAACTGTGAAGTTTGAAAGAGCATTCAACACAACAATTGGTTTGTAACGTAAATAATCGGTAACCAAAAATATAATAACAGTAAGACCAAGACAAGTGTAAGTTGATACTGGAAATATTTCTTGCATTATCTATAACAATAAAAAATATTAATAAATTATTTTTAAATTAAACAAACTATTCATTATTTGAAATAAAACAAGTTAATTAAAATTGATAGTTTAATTTAAATTAAATGAATATACTTAAAGTAACTAGAAATATTTCTTAAATTATCTATAAACAATTAAGAAATTATAAACTCATAAATAACTAATATGTTGTTAATAAATTATACTTAAATATAATTATTAATAATTAGATATAAAACAAGTTAATAACAGTTAATTATTTCAAATGAATTAATACATTTAATCCAAAATTATTGTAATCTTAAAATTTCTAATCATATACTTACTAGAAATTGAATGTTATAAATAGAATTTTTAATTTATTATATTACAATTTGTTCAGTTAAATTAAGATAACATTACAATTTAAAAATAATTTTCAGTAAATTAAAAATTAATTATATTAATTAATAACATTTAATATTAGTTTTTATCAACTGGCACCTATAAAACAATTCAGGTATTAAAAAAAATTAACAAAAATCTTGGAAATGTATTAAATTTAGTATACTTACTTCTTTATCTGTAAAATTCATTGGTGGATTTGACAAATATTGTGTTATATAAGGATCTTCTGGGCGAAATTCTTTGAGAAATCCAAATACCGCAATCCATATTGACTGAATTAACCATTTTTCCATTTTTAATATTATGTTTGTTTGTTATACATAGGGATTTCCAAATTATCATAAAAACAACATGGATCGTTCAGGGTATAATTTAAATATATGACAATATAATATATAATACAATTTAAAATTATGAAAAAATACAATTTATTGCAGCATATTACAGAACTTGTATTAATAATATACTCAAGTAGGTACTCTTAAAAGATAAGATAAATATAATAAATGCGTAGATATATAATATTAATAATTATTTATTTATTATTTAGGAATAATATATAATATAATAAAAAATTAACACTGATAAGAGGATACTCTTTCAGAAGATCAAACCACTGAGGTTGACCTTAGGTTTTAGGTATTGATATTTTTAATTTTTATGACAACAGTAATTATAATTAGTTAATAATGTTCACCTACATATTTAAATATCATGTTTTTATATTTTAAATGCTCAATAAGTAATAACCATCATGAAATCAATTATAAAATTTGTTATTCTGATTAGAGATGTTAAATTTGTGAACGAATAAATCATTTTAACTATTCACTTTGATGAACTATTCTGAACTGTTTCAGTACCTGTAACTTAACAGTTCACAGTTCGAAAATAATTGGTAGCATTGTATAAATAAATTAGTTCACAAATTTCTTTAAAAATTCTCCGTGGTTCGTTGTTCGAAATCCTGTAAATGGTTGTTTACAATTAGATAAAAAATACTTAATTGCCCATAAGTAATATGAACTACTACTGAACAGTTCAGTTACTGATAGCATGATTAAAGATATAATATCTATATAAGATATCTATAATCGTGACTAATAATGATAAAATTAATAGTTCACTTGAACTATTCACTTGAATGAACTGTGGACTAATGAACTAAACTTTCCATCTCTAATGACTACCCCTCGCTACCCCGTAATGACGCTTATGGTAGTATAGGTACTATTAGCGTCTATTTGATAAGCTCGCAATAGTCATTTTATGTAAGTATATATGTTATACCAGTGTTTAAGTCAAAAAATTTAAATGTCCGAAATAAATTAAGTTTAAACAATTTCGTATAGTTCGTTATAGTATGAAAAACATAGACGGATATCAGGGGGGCTTGAGGGGCTTAGACCCCCCAAATATTTTAATAGCCCCCAAAACCGAAACTGTTAGAAATTTTATTCGTCGTTTTTATAATTTATTTATAATTATCTGTTCATTTTTTTTGAAAATCGTAAAATAAATAATAAAAAATTATTTACAATAGCATGAACAATACCAATTACATAGTTGGCTACTTGCGAAAAAAGTTTCAGTTCAATGAAAAAAATAAAAACTTGGTTAAGGACATTGTTGGTTCAAGATAGGTTCAGCAATCTTTCAACACTATATATAGAAAAAGATATATCGAAAAATATAAAAAGCGATGATATTTTGAGTATCTTTGCTAATACAAATAGTTATTTGTCATTAAAATAAAATATTAATTATTTTTAAATATACGTTATTTAGTGTTTTTTTAGTACAATTCAAACATATCTATATTTTTAATGGTAGTAAGTTTTACTTGTGTATTGGAAGGGGGTGTGGGGACGAAGCCCCTGCGGATTATTTTACATTGAATTATTATAGCCCCCCCAAAAATTCAACCAAATGTCCGCCTATGATGAGAAGTGATATAATAAATACCTTATTATTTTTAACATTTCATTGTATTTTATAATATTTTATGCACTTACAGCATCTTCATTTTAAATACATGATATCCACTTACAAGCATACAAAAACTAGTTAGTAGTTAGTTAGTTAATAATAAATAAAAAAATAGTAATTTTTAAATTTGTATAGTTATACATATTTTTAAAATCTTAGAGTATAATATTAAATAATTTAAAATAATAATTAATAATACAAATTTATTTGAAGTACTAACATTGATTTCGGGCAAAAATTAAAAATGTCAATTGAAAATAACACTGCGGGGTTGCGGTAAAATCGAGCATGTTGTGGTTTTTATAAATATCGTGCTGCGATATTTTACCGTGGCCGAATTACCGCTGTAGTGCGTGAACTCCCGTTACAATATGTATGTACAATTTTATCGTCATCACAATCCCACCACGGTTAGGCTGTGTGTAAGGACCTCAAACACTATATAATACAATATGAGGAATATCCGACGTTTGCCTGTATATTAAATGTTTATTTTATATACTTCCGAGACTAATCACAACATGAAACCAGTGCAGATTTCTTACGAGCAATCCGAATTCTCTCGTTTCTCGCGCACACGCATTAACCGCGTGTATCACCATTATGGTGTATACCAGTGTTTCCCAACCTTATTTTACTCAACGCCCCTTTTGCATTTTAAAAATCTCATACCACTCTCCTCCCAATCAATATTTTCAAAAGATTAACATTTTATTTTTTAATAAGCTATTTAATTAAAAAAAAATATCATTTAACATTTTAACGCTACAATTTAGTTCATTTTATATTTAAATACTTAATAATAATATGAATTATATAATATGATTTTGAAATTGTTAATATAAAATAATAATACAAAAAATACTTATGTGAATAATGACTGCTCTGAGGTTGATGGTTTCCCGCCAACGAAATTATATCTTGCTCAATAGAAGTTAGCATTAGTCTCCTCTTTCACATATGTATTTCTAATTTGTTTCTTAATTTGATTAAAAAATTGTTGAACCGCATTAAAGTTTTTTTCAACCAGGTATGTCGACAGATACAATAAGTACCCATAAGACAATAATAATTTTAAACTATTATTGTCACCTACCCAGGGGTGGATTGGCCTATCAGGAAATCGGGAATCATCTCGATGGGCCGGTCCTTGTTGGGCCGCTCTAGAATATTATATAATTACCAATAAAAAGTTTTATTTTTTAAAATAAATAAAAATCATTTAAAAAATGAATATATATTGAAAGATGCATTATGATCAAACTTCAGTTCAAGTTTTAACTGATTAATTATGTGACTTACCCAAAACTATTATAGCTATAATTATATTAAAGTTATTGTAGAGTTTACTAATTTAGGAGTGAAACTAAACAAAGTTTGAAATTAATGCATAATAAAGCATTTTTTTAGGATGGGGGAGGGGTAAAATAGTTTAATTTACGGTTCATGGGTCGGTTTGTTTCATATTTCCTGGGCCGAAAATAATTGCTAATCCGCCCCTGCACCTACCAAATACTTAAAATCTATAGTCCGATAAGATAATTATATAGATGTTAGATAAACGTCTAAAAATATTATACCTATATAATTCTATATATTACATTTGGTATTTTAAATGGGCATAGCCCATTCGGCTCCCGTTTTTTAAAAAGGTTAATTCCCAAACGGCTCTGGTTTTTTCTAAAGCATCTAAAGCATTTTGCTTTATATTGTTCATGGGAGCCGTTTGGGAAGCGACATTTTAAATTAGTTTTTATTCTACGCAGTTTTACATTTCATCGCAGTTATATACAGTACAAATGTAAATAATAAATGAGCGCCCCCTCAGAAAAACGCCCCCTTCGAAATAAAAAATGTCCACAAAGAGGCAGTATCGCCCACGTTGGGAATCACTGTGATATACACTTCGGGACTATAATTTAATAATTTGCGGTTATACAGCGAAACGATGAGCGAAAAGATACTTTAAGATCTTTAAGATCCAGTTATATATGTATTATAAACATGTAATAATGAATAAAATAATACACCAAAATCACATTTTTTTTAATATTGTGTAGGTTCTTATGTAATTTATTATTTTATAATTTTATCTGTCTATATCTAGATAATTGTTTATTATCAAAGCATATTACTGTCAATAATATAATACAGAAACTTGAGTTTTTTTTTCAGTTTCACATTGTGTGTTGCAACTATTATGAATTAATTCATACGTTCGATTTATGTTTAGCCTGTTCACAGAAGATTCACCATACAGCGAATTGATCACCGGACGTCAGCGAAATGATTTAATTATAATCCTATTTTGCACGTCTATAAATGGAATACAATCATGCATCTTACACCTTTGGAAAATAAAATTAATTATTTTAAAAATCTTACTTCCTGTTGGTGGTGCAGGACTAGTTGCCTATGCATTAGACATTACAGAAAATGTTATGTTGTATTACATTGCTTACACGTTCGAACTTATAATAATAACTTAATTATATATTATACATTATTAATAAGGAATAACCTACCTCTCGCAATAAGGTAATAATTATTTTAGAGATTTTATAAGTTATTTGTTTGTACGCGAAAGTGAAACATACCGGTATTGTGGTGTTTATTGAAAATCAATTCATAACTACCGGCTTATGATGATCGGAATGGAATTGCTCCAAGAAATCGATACTGAAAAAATTATTAAGTCATTTGCAAACAAAAAATGTTGCACAAAAGTTTTGTAGCTATAAAGTTATAATTAAAAAAAATACTGCCACACAATATGTATTTTTTTTTTTCTTAAACGAAGGATAAAGAAATATGAAATGGTATAAAATAAGTTGTTTTTTTTTTTGTGATTTCTGGCAATTTAATTTAAAATATATTTGGAGTAAAATTAATTATTTTTAAGATGTATTACAATTCTTATCAGATATAAAATTATAGTTGTAAAAGTTATAATATATAAGTTAAGATTTGATTTTTATGTTGTAAATATTTTTGTTTTTAAAGGTTTAACACTGAGGTTCAATATTTCTTCTTCTAAACAGAAGGTTTCTATAGAATAAATGTAAATAACTGTAGAGCCATATTAGGCAAATATTTAACAATAAGGACACTGTGCCAAGGGCCTATGATAGTGTAAATCTGGGTTTGATTACAGATAATGTCATTCAAGAGTTAACTCAGAAAATTCTTTAGGTGTTTGGTCACAAACTTTGGTGGGGATAAGGAAGATTAAGTTAGATTTATGAGTTAAATATTTAAATTACAAATTAAATTGTTTAACTTCTATTTTATATTGTGATACCACAAAAAAGTATTATACAATCGACTATCGAGAAATCGTAGTAGCAAGGTTATTGATGTTTTAAAGTTGAATGAAATGTTACAAAACTTCCATATCGTCATATTATTATTGTTATCAATTATAATACAAATAATATTCATATTTCATATCAATCAGCCATTTCGCGTGTTCAAGATAAACAATTTTTTTCCTACATAGAATTTGTAAAAATCTCAGAAAAAGATCAAGGGGGGTTACAACCCCCAAACCTCAGCATTAGTTGCGCCACTGTATTAATAAGTTCCTTAATCAATTCATTGGCAACCATTTTAAAATTATCTTCATTTAGATGTCGCAACTCATCCAAATGTTTTCATAAAATATATTTCAGAAGAGAGTAGGTTTGAATCCCTAAATCCCTTATAAGTTTAAGCCTGAAACTAGTCAAGTCCAATAATATCAATAAATGATCTAACAAAGTCAACAATAATTAAATTTCCACCAATTTCTTTTGCTATTTGTACCTCAAAAATATCATAACATATAATCCATCTATTTCATCTTGTCGATTCAATATCTTAAAAAATATTCAACCTAAAATATCAAAGAAAATCGATGCAACACAATAGTACATAAAAATAATTGTTTTTAAAATCACCTTCTCGAGTTAATTCAATTTAACTATTTTTAAATAAAGATATTTTTGACTACTCTTTTATCAAAGAATACTACAACAGAACAATTATAAATATAATATAATATAATATAATGTTTTTATTTTAAATTGCTTTGATTTAAAATACTCAATATAACATGTAATACATGTGTATAAAATGTATATCTGATCCTATATAAATATATAAATAAATATAATTTTTAATAATAAATTGTCATTGTTATTATAAAAGAATTACATTGCTTACTGTTATTAAATAATTATTAAACACAATTATAATTTAAAAGACTACAAATGAAAAAAATTAAAAAAAAAAACAGTGAAAAAAGTAGATATATTATTTAAAAAATTATTACAGATTTGCTTTTGAACACTTGGCCAGATCTAATTTTTCTCTCAATTTTTTACCTAAGTCACTATCAATTTGAGTAAAATGATAAACAGCTTTTTCCTGGAAACAAAATGTACAATAATGATTAAAAAAAACTAAAATTAAATTAATAATATAATACTTGAAGAAAATCAGCAGCATGTTTTAAGTTGTCAACTATGTTTTCAATCAATCTATTTTGTTCATCTTCAGGTAAAACTTTCCTATAAAGTAAGCCAGCCTGAGAATAATTATCATCATTACCTAAATCGTATCTGTAAAATTAAATTAAAGACATTTAGAAGTGACATTACTTTGTATGCACAATAATTAAAATATTTAAAAATATTATTATAATTTCATACTTTGCAACATCACCAGAAACACTGAATGTTGACATTTTATATTGAGATTGCTGTTCTGGACCAGAAAAACTATTGGGATAGTAGTTTGGTGCAGATCCTTGATTATCATAAGCTTGTGGTCCATCACGTTGATAATTAGTAACTTTTGAACGATATGGACAATTAACTGGCAACTGTAAATAATTTGCACCCAAACGATGACGATGTGTATCGCTATATGAAAACAAGCGTCCCTAAAATGAAAAAATAAAACATTTTTATACATGTTAAAAGCATATCCAAACAATATAATAACCTGAAGGAGTTTATCTGGACTAGGCTCAATACCAGGTACCATATGAGCTGGACTAAAAGCAATTTGTTCAATATCAGCAAAATAATTACTGGGGTTACGATTTAACACTAATTTTCCAACTGGTATTAGTGGAAAGTCAGCATGCGACCAAACTTTTGTAATATCAAAAGGATTGAATTTGTTAGAAGCAGCTTCTTCAAAAGTCATAACTTGTATATATAAAGTCCAACTAGGATGATTGCCATTTGCAATAGCATTAAAAAGATCACGATTCGAATAATCAGGATCATCAGCAGCAAGATCACGTGCTCTTTTAGTATCTAAATTTTTAATTCCTTGGTCAGTCTAAAGAAATTAATAAAGATTAATTATTAATTAAATAAAATATTAATTAAAAATGTTCATACTTTAAAATGAAATTTAACATAAACAGCTTCATTATTTGAATTAACCATTTTAAAAGTATGGGATCCATAACCATTCATATGACGATATCCATCAGGAATTCCACGATCTGAAAATAATATCATCACTTGGTGAAATGACTCGGGACGAAGAGTCAAAAAGTCCCAAAACATATTTGCATCCTAAAAATAAAATCATTGTTATTTAATTATGTCAAATACCAAGCATGTAAGATGCTAAAATTAATAACCTTTAAATGGGTGACTGGATTTCTTTTTTGTGTATGAATAAAACTTGGAAATAACATAGGATCTCTAATAAAAAATACTGGTGTATTATTTCCAACTAAATCCCAAACTCCATTTTCAGTATAAAATTTCACAGCAAAACCTCTTGGGTCTCTAAATAAATATAAAAATAATTAATTAATAATAGTAATTAATAATCAAAATAATTATGAAGATTGAAAAATGAGTAATAACCTTTTACAAAATTCATAAAAATATACTCAAAATAATTAGAATAATTTTCCATTAAAATAAAAAAAATTAGCAACTACCAAAAACATAATTCAAGCATGATCAATTATTTAAACATTTAAAATACCACAAAATAAATTAAATTTAATCTATTTTGTAAAATATTATACTTGTAAATAGTTACTTCACAAATAATAACTTAAGTAATCATACCTAACAGTATCAGCAGATCCACTCTCTCCACCAACAGTTGAAAATCTTAAAGCAACAGGAGTTTGTTTTCCAATACTCGAAAATAAATCAGCTTTACAATATTTTGTAATATCATGAGTTACTTCAAAGTACCCAAATGCACCTAAAATATATTTTAGCTTAAAAATATATAGTTAGAAAATTTATATGCTCCAGTTTAAAGATTTTAAACTAAGATTTTTTCCAGTATCAGTTGCTATTGTTACTAATAAAGTAGCAGTGAAAATTGAGTGATTGCTACTTCATATATTATGTCAATATCATAATTTGAGGATATTAATTATTTAGCAATAAAGTATTATAGCATTGACTGCTATTACAATATCATGTTCACTAACAACCCCATATGCAGGTGTGATAGACAAAAAGTAGCAATCACTGATATTTTAGTATTCGAGTAGCAATTTGAGACTGCTACTTTGAAATCATTGCAAAAAAATCAATGAGACTTCTATTTCATGCCATCACTACTATAGTTAGTTTAAGTAAAAAACACCTCCTCCTTTTGCATGTACAACTCGTTCTGGTATACGTTCTCGGTCAAAATGTGAAATTTCGTCCAAAAAAATATGATCTTGTATCACGAGTGGCCCATTTACTCCAGCTTGAATAGTATTATTATGATCATCTACTGGAGCTCCATTTCCAGTTCTAATGACACCAGTATTCTGAAATTATTGAGAAGAAGATTCATTAATTACTCCTGATTTATGAGTATAAATTAATTCATAAAATGGCATTAAATTAAAAAATTGTAAAACATTATTTTTTTATGTATCAGTAAAATAAATAACTATTGTACTTTTTATTTAAATTTAAATGTAAAATATTATCACCAAATTTAACTAAATCTAGAAGGTATAACATATCATTTTTTAACTACTTAATCTTAGTCTTCACTATATAAACACTTATTCTTATATGAACCACAAATAAGGTTTAGTATTAATATAATAATTTTAGTTTTAATTATAATTAATTATAATAATAATTAAATCTATGCATGGATATATATTACGCTAATTATACATTTGTATCTGTGTAATCTATTGTTTTATTCAATATTCTATATTAAAAACAATCACATATAAATTATAATACTTATAAGTGGTTATTTCTTTAAATAGTTTTTATTTAAATTTATTATTATTGTATAATATCATTAATAATTTTATGATTTCACATTTTCAGTTCTTGACTAATAGCCTGTAACTTGAACAGTTTAGTCAATTAATTGTTTTCAATTACTTGGGATAACAGATACTCAACAAAGTCAGAAATGTATTGAATTTATGTAGAATAATTTTTTTAACTTGAATTGGAAATTTGACAAGTGTATTACCCATGTTTTTTTTGACACAAAGAAAAAACTGAAAAATAACATAGGCTTAAAAATTATTTATTTATTAAAACATAGCAATATAAAATTTATTATTATATTTAATTATAATGTTTACAAGCAATATACACTGGTTTTTTAAAAATGTATATCATAATTTGAGCATTTATCTAAGATTAAAATCAGTTTATTTAAGTTTGAAGTGTGACATTAATGATTTCTTACATCAATGTTAATGAACTTATTAATTTTTTAGGTTTAATTTTTAAAAATAGTTTTAATAATTGTAATTTAAATTTAGTAATAATTACTTGTTTTCCAAGCATATTAAGAATTAATAATAATTTTAATAGAAATATTTATGAAGTAATCACAAAATATATATTTAATCTCTAGGAATTTTGACGTTTTTTAATAACTAAGGTCTGGGTTTATATGCAATAAAAATCTATAAAATATGCAAATTTATATCATATATTTGAAAAAAAAATGTAAATTATAACTTTTTATAAATTAATTAAATAATTTTGAGTAAAAAATATAAAAAAACATTTTTTTATGACATTTTGTCAAAATATATGCAATTAATATGCATTTTCATTAAATTATGCCAAAATATGCAAAAAAAAAATTTAACCCAAGAATCCACACATTTAGAAATCACGAAACGTTGACATTTATAAACAAAATTATTCTAGGAGAAATGTAAAAGAATATGCATTTACATATAAATCTGAGTCCTATTAATTATTAACAAATGTAAATTACATTGGTCATAATTGTCCAACACATAATTTGAAATTATTTAGGTATTTGTAAGCATATATCAAAATTAAAATGTACAATTATTATTTATTATAATTTTAAAACCGATAAGACAATAAAAGGTAAAATTACAATTACTCAAATACTTAAAGTGTTATGAAAGTTTATTATTCTTGTAAACATAAATTAAATAAGGTCTAAGTTAAAAGCTTAATTTTAAAAATATAGACAACTAATTAAAAACTTTTATTAATGCATTATAACTTACGTGATACTGAATTAACATTAAGTTATTAAAAACCAATAATATTAAAAGTTATGGTTCTTTAAAATATTTAAATTTTCAAATAATTCTATCCATGATTTAGCTGTGAGTCGATTATAAACATTGAAAATTAATTTTTATAACTCATAATTGTTATAATTATTTTATTTATACATTAACACAAACGCACTACTTAAAAAAAAAGTCTTTATGAATAAAAAACACGATTAATATACAGTAAAAGCCGCTTATTAGAAACACTTTTAGACCAAGGTAAAATGTGTCAATTAACCAATTGTTTATAATAAACGATTGGTTTTATTTCTTATGAAAAAAATATTTACTATAAAAAAAAATGTATATGCTAAACAAAATTTGAGTTTATCTTTTTCTGTTGTTTTACGTTGAGTAATTGATGATCATGGTTTCGTAAGAATAATGTTACTCAAAGCCTTTTTCATCTACACGGAGCAGGACTAATCTCCTGAGGACGCTTAGAACTTCTACAATTTCTTTACTTCATGGGGATGCCTCACTTTTTTCTTTTTCATCGTCAGTAACAGCATGTTAAATTGTTTGAGGATTCATAATCGCATTACAAATCTCTTCTTCTGTTGGAACCTCAGCAACATTGAGGTGTGAGTCCACATCGATACAATCTTCGTCACTTTTTCTGAATTCGACTGGTTTAGATTGAAACGATATAAGATAAAGTACATTTGTTATCGCCAATAACCGGAATTTTTCGACAAATATTTTTATTTTTATTTTTTTAATTATTAATAAGCCGCAACAACAAAGGTTATTGACTACAAACATTAATATTTTTTAACACAAGTATCGAGCATTAATAATAACATAATAATAGTAAAAAATAATGTATTTCATATATATCTAGATTATATTAGTTGGTATAATTTAGTTAATTTTAAATAATTAATTCAACGAATATTGTTGGCTCTTATTGTTTCAAATAACCGATGTGTTGTTTCAATAATCCGATTGATTTACAATGTTTTAATATACGGCTAATCCGTCTCTAGACATTTTGTTTCAATAACGAGATTGTATCAACTATCCATGTTTCTAATAAGCGGCTTCTACTATACTTTAGCTCATTATTTATAACAACAATTTAGGAGACAAGACTCTATTATTTACAGACTCGGTTCTACTCAACCACACAAAACTGATAAAATTGGACTGAGTTTTTAATGTAGCAGCATTTTTATCAAAGATTATCCTTAAGGTCTTTACTAAAGGCAAAAACAGTAAAAACAGCTATTACTTAATTAAATGTAATATAATAATACATAGTATAACTGTAAATACTTATATTGTATATTGTATGTACATTTATAATTAATTGACTATAATACATAAATATATATATTTAAAATAATCTTGATAAGTTTTTAAGCCATTTTGTTCACCTTGTTTCATCGTTGGTTTCAAATTTTTTGACGATATCCAACAAGATGAATAGAATATCTCAGTCCTATTGTCTTATTTAAGAACTTGAAGTATGTTCAAATATTTGAAGACATTAAGGCCCCTGTACTGGGCCTCATGCAAATTATGAATACAAGTTATTTTTCGAGGTTTTCAGTTGGATATATCGTAAAATAATATACATAATGAAATATAATTTTTTTATTATATATTTTAAGGTTAAAAATGTTTATCATTATTTAAATTTTTAAATTTCTAATTACCTACACGATTTATTTATGTAAATTTTGAATATAATTATAAAAACTCATTAACAATTACTTTAAACAGTTAAGTATGAGTATTTTTAGATTTAGAGCTTAATGGGGAATTAGCAGGTTTTACAATATTTTTAATACAAATATATTATTTTGTATTCATTTTATTATATTTAGTTATTAATGTTTTAAATATCAATAAACACAATATCACAAAATAGATAAAATAAATTCTAAAAATATCATTGATATAAAATATCTTATTAATCAGTGACAATACTAAGCATATTAAAACATTTATAAAAAACGATTAAATTGTAAGGAATATAAATGGCCCGAGGCTTTAGGTCAAGTATCTAAACTTGATTTACTAGAAATACTTTTACTCTAAGATATCATTTAAAATAATCAAGGTTGATTATTGACATATCATGACTAACAATCAATAAACACATTAAAAATTAAAATTAATAATGAATATATTTAAATAATTAGAATTATTAAAAATTAAAAATAACTAATAAGTATTAAAAAAATGAATTAAAAAATATTATCAAGTTTTAATTTTTAATGTTAAAATTGAGTTCAGCCACAAATTTGTAGCCATAAGGTATTTTCAAGGTTTTCTATAATTTCAATTCATTATTTATGAACGATTAATATGGGAACTGCAAACATACACAGTTAAAACAAAATAAACACTATAGAGGTCATTAAGCCACATAAATGGTCTAATTTTTAAGTAGATATAACAAAAGGACACAATGAGAAAATAAATATCAATACTCATTATTAAAAATAGTTGTGGAACTTAAGTTTAAAAACAATAATAAATTATAGGTAAAAAATAAATAGCTACCAATAAAATATGAGTATAAATATAAAATTTACTATTCTTTAGGTTAAAAGAAATTTTTTAATGGTTTATTAATGATATAATATATTATATAATGAATAGTTGTAAAATATATTAAAAAAATGTAATTCAATAGTTATAAATTAATACATATTTTGTAAAAGTTAACAAATCAATCAGGTAATAAATAAAATTAATTATTTAAAGTTTATATAACTCATTATAACTTAAAACGTCATTAGAACAAATATGATTTTTGTTTTATAACGTATTTGAAAATGAAATACATTATTATAATAATATTCTATTTTTTTTAATTTTTTTTTATGTATAATGTTCTATACTAATTCAAATACAATTATGAATGAATGTCTAAATATGGAATATGATACTGATATATGTGCATTTGTATCCATGGGAATGGATATACATTTTACTGGGTAATAATTTTTAATATACCTATTCATTATTTTATACTAATAAAACTAATGACTTTACTTATTTGAAGTCAATATTTTATACTTCAATATAATAAAGAGTTAAATGTTTACTGGAAGTGATATATCTAAGAAATCTAGTAAGGGGTTTTATTTTTGAAGTATACTTAAAATTACAAATAGACTACTTTTATTTATATTATTATTTTTATTGTAAAATAAGAGTATATTCTATATAAAACCAAACATATAAGACATATAAAACCCAGGTGCAGAGAACAAAAATAAGCTGAGAACCACATTCTTAACCGATTAGGTCAGATTAATTAAAACATTTTCAAAGTTAAAAAAAAAATATAATACTTTATTTATATTTTCTCCAGTTGTTTGTTTGATTATGTTTGATAAATTTGACTTTGACATTGAATTAAAAGATGTATACATAAATAGTTTAAAAATAGAAGTTAATTAATGCCTAACCTGGAGTACTTATTTATTATATGTGTATTTTATGCGTGGTTTCAAATTAAAAATGAATCATCAGGTATACATAAAGTTAATAAAATTGAGATTTAAAAAAATGTTACAAATATGTACATTGTTTTAAACTGAATTGAGGAAGGGACTGAATTATCAACATTGCTGTAAATAGGATTTAAAGGTAACTAATCCTACATAATTTCTTTGTTAATTTTACAAATTTTTTAATGATTTTAAACATGCAATATCTTAGTCAATAAATAATTAATCAAATCGGTATTTTTATTATTTCATTAATGTATTTTATATTTATACACTATGAGTGTAATAAAATTCTAAAATAAATGTAGTTTAAAATGATTTATAATATATTCTTTAGTATTTTTAGTGTTATTAAATCCTTACCGTATTCATTAGATATTCAATCTTAATATAAAATTACTAATTAGTTTTTTAGATAAATAGACTATATCATATTCAATATTAATAATATTTTAATATTTAAGAAATTGGGAAAGTCCATACTGTTTAAAAAATTAAATACATACAAGTATTGGTAAAAAATTAATGATTGATACAGATTTAATATTCAATTATTAATATAAATACATATTTAATTACTTAACAATAAACAAAAAATCTCTAGTATTCATAAATTATAATTTAAATAATATTTTTGCTATTGTTACATATATTATTTTATTTGTTGGTAAATTAAAAATAAATATATTAAATACATAAAATTTACTATAATTCAAAATAAAATATTTACTTTTTGTAATTTTTAATTTTTAAAGCTTAGTGATAATTAATATTTTATTTTTCTTACGCTCCATATGATTAACATTTATCAGAATAATAGTCAGACAATAAATTATAACACTAACTTCTTACATTGTATGCTAAAATTACTCTATTAACATTTGACACTTATGAAAATGCAAAATGTTGTTACCTACTACAATTTATTACCCACACAAAAAAAAATTTAGAATTTTAAATAAATATACAATACATTTAATTTTTGTTTTTATACTTAATTAAAATTTTGTAATTCAGACTATAATAAATAATTATTACTAAAATAAATAATATTAAGTTTTGGCTATTTAATCCAAACAGTTTAAAACTTAAAATTATTTATAAAATTATAAAATATAATTTATAACAATGATGCCAGTTAACTTCATAATTAAATGAAAACTTTTTTCAACAGATAGTTACCAATATATAACAAATGTATAGTTTTCATTTACTTACAAATGAAAAAATGTATTTAATTTTATATTTATTAATAAATAATATATATATATATTAAATATTTTTGTAAAATAATTTACCTTAACTGATTTTTTAAAATCTTCTAGCTGATTATCAGTTGGCTCTTTATTGTTTGACATTTCGATTTTATTTGGTTAAAAAGATTAAAAAAAAAATTTAAGTATTCGTAACGCGTAAACTGGTAGATGATTAAGCATACACAGCCATCAGCACACTGCAGTGTCCCAGACGTGAGAGGCCAGGCTATATAGTTTATGCGTTAATGCACTATACTTCGACATTAAGCATAGATACGTGTTTAATACGCATGTGTGTCCAACAACAACTTTTTTTTATATTATATGATTATATTATTGTTACGAATGTTCTTTGGCGTATGTTGTGCTCACGTTTTGCGGTGTCGTGTCGACAATCAGTCAACCGTCTAAATGTCTGATAACAATAAGATGATAAATCGAATGTCGATAACAAACAGTTAACGTTATATAAAAATTACGAATTACGATACTATCACCAGCAGTCGGCCAATGTACTAAAGGACATTAGTATACATGGTGCCTACATACCAATAGTTCAACATTACGACAGACCAAAACAGTAACGATAGGCTTCACCTTGGCTAAATTAATGTTTAGATTATAGTTGTTCTTATTATTATTCAAGGTTTTTTTTTTTAAATAGGTAAACAGTTAAGTGACGATTAGTATGGGTACCTAATTGTACTCATTGTATAAACTGGTCTCTATTCATTGTACCTACAATTTAATTAGTCTTTCATCAATCCAAATATTTCAATCTTAAAAGTAATATAAGACAAAAAATAATTTCAATTATTTAAAAAGATTGCAAACATTTTTTAAAATTTGCATTATTGATTATACCTACTAATACTACCTACTAATATTTGTAAGGTGGTATTTAAAAGCCGTCTCAATTTTTAAAATTCTTGGAATTCTTTTCAATGCGTTTAAGTAAAGATAAAATGTGTGGTCTGCATCTGATCAGGTGTGGCTGTAGTAATTACAATTTGCCACCAATACTTAATGAGGCAAATATTATTGTAATTGAATAAACATTAAGGTAATATATATGAGCAATTCATTGAATGGTATAGCTAAGCTAAGAATACATAATGTGTTCATACATAATTATTAATTTTTATAAAAAAAATAATACCTATATCGATATAAAATAACAACTAAATATAAATACGCAGCTAAGAAGGATTCAATATATGAAACATATTAGTTTTTACCATTGGTCATGTAATAGTATGTTATAAATAGTTCTGACGTATATATTATAAAATTCTACTACACCCAAAAGTTAATAAAATATACAATTACAGCTTATTATGAATATTGTACTTATTCAATTTTCATAATGTTATTGTTTGTTTAGTATGATTTATCAGAATTTAGAAAATATATATATATATATTTTTTATTTAAATTAATATCCAATGATTACTGGGCCTTACTGAGAAAAACTCGCGTTTTTATAAATCGCGTTAAATAAACATGTATTAAATACGTTATTTTTCAACTTTAAAAATTATCCAATTTCTACCAATTATTTGTGTAATGTAAAAAATGTTAAAAATAACTTAGTTTGGCCTGAATAAAAAATAAATAAAAAACCCAATAGGACTCCGAGATTAAATATTTGTCCTTCGTTGTTATTCCCTTCTCGGATAGGAATCGGTAGTCATTGACGAGAATGAGGATCAGTGGAGGGATACATTTTGAAAAAATCAAACCTTGTGTTGATCTTGATAAGTCACATTTATATACATTTGAAAATAATGTATTTAAAATTTGATTTCGGCTGAAATAATATTTGTATATATTAAAAATTTTAATCTGATATAATTATAGTGCGTAGGTAATATAAAGTTACATATGAATTATTACAGATTTCAAAATAACATTTAGTACTTTAAGTAGGTAGGTTTCTACTTATTTTTTTTAAAAAACAGTTAACAATGACTATATGTTAATGAATACAATGAAATAAATCAGCTATACTGTATTCTCGTGAAATAATTAGCTTAAATAATTGAATCGTTTATCGTTTATGTATGTAATGAATTAAACGTTTGTAAACATTAATTCACCGTGCAAAATCTCTTAAGTAAAATATCATTACATTCTTCGTGGTTCGCTTAATTCGAAATCTAATAATTTATCTATGATTTATGAATTAAACGATAAAACAAAATATACCTTAAAAATGTATGGAAATAAAGTAGTTAAAAACTAAAAATTGATTAACTGATAAAGTTTAATTAGCAAGTTCTTTGTAATAATTACCAACTCAAATAGGTTAAATAATATTTTTAAAATTAATACATTAGAGGCAGAATAGTTTAGTTTCTTTAGCTAACAGCTTCAAATGCCTCTAATTTCTGTTAAGAGTACTGTCAATCCGGGTGACTTGGAACGATTTAGACCATTTAACTACCGTAACACATTCATTATTTATATTAAATTCTGTAAAAAATCATGCAGTGTCACACACTTTCAAGGAATAGATTGAACAAAAAAATAAAGTTTTTAAGTAAATTAAGGTAAAAAAAAATAACAAATATATTAATAAATATTTAGCTGAATGATTGCAGAATATTGTTCAATAATTGGAAATTTATCAAAAATTCAAATACATACATTTTATGGTGAATATTAAGTACAAAAACCAGTTAGTAACTATTCATAAATCTAATAAGTACATAAACATCAGGTGAACACAAAGAACAAAAGTATGGAAAGATAATAAAAACAATTTAGTATACGTACCTCCTACTAATATTATTTGGTTTTGGAAAAAACGTTTAGTTTAATTAACTTTTTATAAAAACTTCATTGGATTTGAATTTTGAGTACATTGTGTCTAGAAATAGGTACTGTTCTTTCAAAACATTTAATCAATTATATATATTTGATTCCGTGGTCTTTTCTATATTAATATTATAGCTAAATTTGTTATTTTTAACGTTTTTTTCAATGTCACACCATAATCGTTACCGATGACTAAAAACGAAGTAAATAATTCAATTTTTGAAAAATGAGTCATAACACAAGTCGCTTGTTTGCTAGTTTATAAAACTTATAGTATACTCATCCAGGCCATCAGAGCCTTGTAGCCAGGTGGATAAACTAAGTCCATAGTGATATCTTGTATATTTTGGATGTATTTTTTTGTATTTACTAAATACCTATATAATATACTATTCTTAAATTTAGAAAAGGAAAATAAATAATGACAAATTATATAAAGAAATAACTCAACCGTACGTACGTTTAGAAACTTTTTTTTTGAATAATATAAATTTAAATTTAAATTAAATAGGGTATATATTTTTAATAAATAATTTATAATTTGTAATTTCAAATAATTTAATATATTTAGTCACAATGGACATGACGTGTTCATCGTGTTTGCTTACGTGTCACCGATGCAATACTGATAAAAAAAAACGTGATAGTAAATTTCATAGTGAGACATAATATATTTACGTATCCATTATACGGAAAACAATTATTGATTGTATAGCAATCAACATATGATTTGTTCAACTGAATTTTAAGGTTGCGCCCGTGACTACAAAACTATATGTAAAGGCTACTAATTACTTTTGTTATTTGTATTTGGAATCTTATAATATAATAAGACTGTTATAGTTTTATACAATAACATTAGTATAATACCGTCTTTTTTTCATACAAACTAACAATTCTATTCCGATTACAAATAATTTAATAGCGCATCAATATTTATTACAGTGATTTAGATAGTATCAACAAAAATATAATGCATATGTGAGGACTACAATATTATGTTTTTGTTATAACGTTGTTTTTTTGTAATTTTAAATATAACATTCTATACCGATTACCGATCACTTTGTAGGAATTACAAAACCCTATACATATGCATTTACTACAATTAATTTATTAGTTGTATTTACGTTCTACTATATTAAAATTAATAATATAGGCTGAAATGAATAATAAAAATATTTTATTTCTTTAAAAATGTATTTATAATAAATCACATCTTTGTTTAACATATTTTTAGTCTTGTTATTGTCGTTAATTGTGTTAATTATGACATTATTATCTATAATTTTGTTGTTTATTGGATAAATTTTTTGTCCATTTTTATTAATTTTAATCGTTTAATTTATAATATGATTATTTACATTATCCATTCATTTTTGTTTTGGAATTGTGTTATTTATATTTAAATATTCGATGAGTATTTTTGTAAATGAATTTTTTTGATTTTATCCTCGATATCTATAACATGGTTTTTATTAGATTATATGATACTATAGGAGGTTTATTATCGTTTTCTTTACAATAAATTATTCCGTTTTTACTAATAGGCAAAAGTATCATATCGTCAAAAGTATAAGTGTCAAAGCCAAATTTATTAGAGCTAATTCTTCATCTACCTACCAATAATTAAAGAATTTATTTAAGCCCAATATTTCTTAAATATTAGATATTGTGGTTGTATTATTATAACCGTCATTTAATGAATTACAAATAGCACAAATGCCGCAGTTATTTTCACCAGTGACATTTGCGTATACATATAATGTAAATATATATATATATATATATATATATATATATATATATATATTTATAATTGTAATTATTGAATACTGTATCATTATTATTATAATTTTTATTTGAAATATTTACTGATTTTTTTATCTGAATTAGTTGGTTTTGATTTCCGGATTATAAATATTATTTGTTGATGCTCATTGGATTTCTAATTGTAGATATGTTAATACTGTCTAAGTGACAAATAATTAAATCTAAATTAGAGTTTTAAAATTCTGAATATATGAGTTTATTTATTTATTTAAGTTACATATGTTTCATTGATTTTCATATTCATGTCGGGCGGTACTCCTTTCGCCCAAAAATGAAAAAACAATTTCCTCTTTTCGCCCAAAAATAATTGTATTCCTTTCGCCCATGGTTTCACGTTTTACATTTTGGAAACCACTGTCTCAAAATTAATAATTTTTAATAATAATTAATAATAATTTAATAAGTGTTAAAAATAAGTATTTAAAATAGTGTTATCGATGTAAAATAACTAATAAGTAATTTGATCAGGTTACTACTTAAATAAATAGTTTGTTTTGTTGTTGTAAAATAATACAAATATTCATATTAATCATGAATTTAAGTAATTATAACGTTTATTAAAGTGTTTTAAACTATATATTTCGATAGAAGAGTCGGCACCTTTATACACTTTTCTCGATTGACTATATTAATAACAATCAAAAACGTGATTTTATCGAATATCAAATATGATTTTTTTTAAATTATTAATTTTGAGAAAGTGGTTTCCAAAATGTAAAACGTGAAACCATGAGCGAAAAGAGGAAACTGTTTTTTTCATTTTTGGTCGAAAAGAGGATGTGGGCAAAAAGAGGAAGGTCATT